CGTGGGGAATCCGAACGTATCAAATCCAATCTTATATGTAAATTATTTGTCACACCGTGGAGAATGTGTGCACAGCAGCGGATGTATACACCGCAACGCCTGCGTACACCACAAGGTGTCGTAAACTGCAATGACAGTGCACCACAGTGCTCCTGTACGCCACCATGCCTGGGATGCCTGCGTGCTTGATAACTGATGGTGCAGCAACAGTTTCGCATACCACAAAGCCTGTCTTCACCGTACTGCCTGGGCGCATCACGATGCCCGCGTGCACCGCGCGACCTGCGTGCACCTATGCTTGCGTGCACCACAGCGCCTGCGCACACAAGAGCTATTGTTGCAACAGCAGCAAAGGCGCGCACCAGATCGCCTCGCTGCCCGTGCACAACGCAATGCCTGTGCACGCGCTGTTCACGTGCACGTCCAGATGCCTATGGCCGGCGTCGGTCGTCGTCGGTCGTCGGTGTCGTCGTCGTCTTTCGTCGTCGTTAAAGTTAAAGTTAAAGACGGGGCCTTCAAGGCAAAAGGGGTGCCCAGAACAAAACACGGACAAGGCCAGACGGGACCAACGTTCCCGAGAGAAGCCGAGCCCCCTGCAAGCACGAGGGGCCTCCAGGGGCACCGAGCGCCACCCGAGACACGCCCTCCCGAGAGGGGCCGCCTAGGGCCGCCTCTCCCCGCGGGGGCCGCACTGGGCCTCCACCGCGGCTGCACCACAAGGCGAGAACAGATCTACATACAGAATGCAACTGCCCGCCTCACGCACTACTCTTGGGCCGCGTCGCGCCACGCGCACGGACCAAAAGACCATCGAGGAGCCGCGCACGCTCCTCGGCATCTGGACAACCTGCACGGCCGAGGCGGAAGCCGAGGGCGCGGGCCTCGGCCCAGTCCAGGAGTGACTCAACTCCCGACTTCGGCCCCTGGGCCGCACACGCCACCACCGCAACCGAGAAGTCGTCCAGGAACGAAACGAACCCGCACTCCGAGCCCGAGTGGCCATCGCCCGCGGCGCAGCCGACGGAGTCCGCGACCAGGGGCTCCATGCCGACGGCGTGCTCGATGGCCGAACCTCCCACGGGCTCCTCCACGACGGCCACGGGCGGCGGCCGCGGCGCCCCAGCGCCCACGGCCACGGGCCCCTCACGCCCAGGCCCCTCGGCGAAACGCACTCTCCAGGTGAGTCGCCGACGAGGCCTCGCGGAGATGCCGAACCTCTCGCACTCGCAGAGGTGCATCAGGTCGACGGCCTTCGCCTGGCTCGTCCAAGCTGGGTCCGCCCACTGCGGGACAGGGCCATGCCGAAGGACTCCTGCCACACCGAGCGGGCCTCCCAGGGCCCCCACCTCCAAGGCGGTGACGTCGGGCCACGGAGCGAAGGATACCCACTTGACCCTCGCACACCCTTGCCCGACAGGAACAGCCCCGCTCAGCTCCCTGGCCCTCCTGTCGCCGAGCAGCCCGCACGGCACGGGCGCCGCGTCGCTCCCCTCGGACTCGCCCTGCTCTTCGGGGCCAACCTCGGAGCCGCCGGCCACGAGCTCCACCGCGTCGCCAGGCGGGCTCGCCAGAACCGCCACGTCGGTCTCTACCGCCTCGGTGCACCCGGCGCCGTCCTCGCCAGAGCCCTGCTCGGCCAGCTGCGCCACGCCGAGCTCCTCCAGCACCGCGGCCCAGCGCGCCCACTGGGGAGGTACGGCTGGGCGCCAGAACGCAGTGGGGTCCTCGCAACCGCCACTCGGGCGCTGGGCCGCCGCGCTGGCGCATCAGCCACGCAAGCATCCACAGCGCACACGAACGGCGGCTGCACCTCGCAGACGCAGGTCTCCACCTCACACGCGATGGCACTCTGCGGCGCACCGCCACGCCCATCACCAGGAAGGGGCCCTCCTGGGAGGCGCGGCCCGCGCTGAGCCCTGCGCCACGCCTGCGGCGGGGCGTCGGCCGACGGGCTCGATGCCACGCGACGTTCCGCCTCTGCCGCTGCGCCCTGGTCTCGCGGCGTCCGCGGACGCGCGCCACCAAGGCGGGCCGCGCGATGGCTTCGCGACGAAGGGCTTCCGCCTCCGCGGCGTCGCCGCGCGACCCGCACTCCCGCTGCACGCGGAAGCTGGCGATGACCGCCTTCGCCTCCCGCAGCTCCCTGTCCAGCCGTCTCACCAGGCTGTCTGCCGCCCATCGGGCCGCCGCGACACCGGTGAGCACCTCCCGCACCATTCTGCCCAAACGCCCGCGCGCGGCGCGCGCCTGAGCACGGCCTTGAGCCCAAATGGCTACGGATGTCTTTCGTCGTCGTCTACCGTCATCTATCGTCGTCTGTCGTCGTCTGTCGTCTGTCGTCGTCTCCCCGTGCCACTCCAAGCCCCAACTTTTCGCCAACGTGCATCCAAACACCAGCATGCCGTGGCGAACACCACCGCGCCGTTGAACACAGCGCTCCCTGCAAGCTCCCGGCGCCCCCTCCCGAACCTGCACAATCGGTTAGGTTCGATTATCCGGGGGGGGGGGCGAGCCCGATAACCAAGCTTATCGCCGGACCCTAAAAACAGTCTCTTGTCAACCGTGGGATGGCACCCCGTCCATAGCGCAACTCTCCTGAGACAAACAGACCACTTACAATGTGCATGCAGCAGTCTAAGGCAGCACTGCCCCGACAAAGGTGACAGAAGCCGCAACCAAAATAACTGATAGACGGGGTTCGAGAATCTTGACCGCTTTTGGCCCCTTCTGGGCCTCTGGAAGGGCTTGGCCGTCGCCGCGGCCGAATTGCCCGTGAAATTCTCGCCAGAACGCTGCCCAAGCCCTCCGAAAGAATTGTCTTGTCAACCGCGACCTTCCACCTTCACTTCGACCTCTCAAGGACCTCTTCGGCTCCAGGGCTATCAAGCCAATGCTAGATCTGGTGCGAAAAACAGCCCCTCTGTGGCTGAGGGGGGACGATAGGGGGGGGGACTGGCTCAGTGGTGGAATTCTCGACCTGTAATCGGCGATACATCGCCGACAGACCGGCAATAGTTCTCGATAATGAAACCGCATGTTCGTGGGCGGGGCGGACTATCGGGCCCCTATCGTCGACGAAAAGGGCGATTGGGGGTTGATGCGTTCCCCCTTGAGCCTATCCCCCCCCCCAAACGTTGCCCCTGAGGGTGGGAGGTCGGAACCTCTGGGCCATTATTTCGCAACCATCCTGTGGTGTTGGGTCCTGGTCTTGAAGAGACATCGCCCTCCGTTTCCTCCTCTTCTCCTCTCTTCTCCTCCTCCTCCCTCCTCCCCATCGCTGCCTCTGCCCTCCGCATGTCGTCGGCACATCCCTCAGACGCTTCGTGTCCGCACAGGGTACTTCACCAACGCTCCCAGGATGGGGGGGAGTCGCATGTGGTTCAAGGCCTACTTCGGCACACCGCTCACACGCGCTTCCTGGCCCCACAGGGAACACCACCAACGCCACCAGGAGAGGGTTTTCGCATGCGGTCTCAAGCGCATTTCGGCAAACCGCTTGCACGCTCCGTGGCCCCACAAGGAGCGGGAGTTTCACATGCGGTTCCCCACCCGTTCGGCACACCCCTCACACATTTCGTGGCCCCACAGGGAGCTAAGCCCCAGTGGCAGGACCCGCATGCGCCCCCAGGCCCATTTCAACTCTCACACGGTTCGTGGCCCCATCGGGAGCTCCACTGAAGGCGATAAAATAGTGCACAAGCGCGGTCCCCAGAACTGCACATGGCTGGGCCCTTCGCCCGGAGATTTTTCGCTACGGGCGAGCGCGAAGAGGAGGTTCGAGGTTCCGTGGGCGGCTCCTTGTCGCCGCGGCTGTATTCCCTGCTGAGATCCCAACATGTACCCCTCCGAGAGGCCCCGTGGGCCTCGCACAGCCGTTCGAGGCGACTCGTCGGACGATCCTGGCACCCCCAGGGCCGTCCTCGGCGAGCCGCAGATGCTGGAACGGATCCCGGGGCGAGAAAATCCAAGAACTAGCGGGACCCTGCAAGAATCTCCCTGGCCGACGCGGAGGTGGGGGCCTGGAACGAGCCTACACATCCGACGCCGCGGTGTCTTTTTCACAACTTACGCGGCTCCCCAACAGACTGGACCTCTCCGTAGAGACCGGCTTCTCATGCCGAGTCGTGCTTGTCTGTCCAGGGGTCTGGCCAGTTTGAGGCCCCCTCAAGAAAAAATCGTCAAAAGCTGCGGTTGTGATCGAACCATGCCGAGAGAATGCCAGGTGGAGGGAGGATGATACGTAGAGGAGGAGAGAGGAGGGACGGAAGGAGGAGGGAGGGAGGGACAAGGGACGGACAAGGATGGAGGAAGGGGAGTGGGTGAGAGTGCGCGGTGAAGCCCGGCATATTATGATTATGTCCACGCAAAGGAAAGCCATCTCACTCGCGCTATGAGCGGAACCGCGCCTACACAATATAATGAATCCGCATGCTTGCTCATGACTACTACTCCGGCCATCATGAATGAAGATGCAAAACAGCAGCACGCACATCACCATAGCTTTTCACCAAGGCTGCCTACTTCCAAGCAGCAACATGTGAGAACAAATGGTGGGGAATCTGTAAGTTGCAGAGAGGTACAATCGCCGATCACAAGAGTTTTCAAAATATTGCCTACTATCAAACCACAGCATGTGAAGGTACGATATCACTCCCAACCAGTAAGATGAAATACGCCCCAGCGGCAGGGAGGAGGGTTTGATGCGGCTCGGAGCCCGCGAAACTTCCTATGATCTGCAACCTGGGACGGACCTTGACGAACATGACCGTGAAAGAAATGGCACCAAACAATACACCACCGTGCGAACGGCGAAAAGCAACCCGACTCTTTGCCCTGCCCCGTCATCGCGAAACGGTCGCCCACCCAAGACGTGCCGACTGGGAGGAGGAAGGGAGGAGGGAGGAAGGGAGGGAGGGAGGGAGGGCTGATGGAGGGCGGGACGAGGGAGGGACTGGAGGAGGGGAGGAGGGAAGGAGCGGCGGCGATGCCACCGGCGGGGCCTCGTTCGAGCGCAGCTCCTCGAGCCTGCTGTCGATACTCTGCAGCGCCATCTCCGCGCTGCGCAGCTCCATCTGCTGCCGCAGGGCTGGGTCGCCCGGCAGCGCGTCGTCGGCCACCTCGAGGAGGAGCAGCCAAGCAAGCAGAGGTCGCAGGAGGGCCGGTCGAGACAACGGCGGTCCTCCCCGGCGATGCTCGTCCTTCTCGGGCCTCCTGGAAGCTTCTCGTCGCCGTGGCTGGACCCCCCCCCTCCCGGAACACGGGCCAGGATGGTCCGCGGGAGGGAACAGGGAACAGGTGTTGAGCGGATTTGATTTCTCTGGAGTGGTGGCGGGACCGCTAACCACCTGTGGCCCCCTCGACCCACTCACCTTCTGGCTGGGGGGTACCAGCTGGGGGGCTGATGGGCACCGTCCCCAATCCTCCCGAATCAACTGGTGGCCGAGGGGGCGAGATCGACGCCGTATTCTCAAGGAGGAGCAGGGGACAGTGCGTGTGTGTATATGCATCTCTCTACATCTATATGTATGTATATATATATATATATACACATACATACGTATGTACATACGCAAACATGTACGGAGTCAAGGGGCTGGAGACACACGTGGCTGGATTCCCATGCGGAACACGTGAAGGCCGCGCGCTGGATGCACGTGCGGAGGGCCAGCGTGCCTGGCCATGGACGTGCAGAGCGCTGGAGAGATATCTGGCCACAATTTACTATTATCACTACTATTAATACTAATGTTATTATGATTCTGATTATTACTAGTATTCTTATTCGTATTGGGGGAGAAATTAAAAACCAGTCTTCGTTGGGTTTTGTTTGTTTGATGCTGAAGGCGGTCGGCGCGCGCGCCGAGCAGTACGAGCCACGTCGTGGCGAGGGGGTGGCGGCACTGAAGCAAAGGAGCTCCCACCTGCCGCGAGGAGCGCCAGGCGCTCGCTGCGGCGGCGCTCTCAGGCCAGGGGCCGCCGCCCTCGCCACATGACGGGAGAGGTGTCTGGCCACCTGTGTACCCAGCTCTCGCCCGGGCCGGTCGCGTCGTGCGAGCGAAGAAGATGAACGGGCCTGTTGCGCAAAGTGACATAGGCCTCACGCCGCAGCTTACGCGGGCCGCCAGCCGGGCAGGCTACACTGGAAACTATGGCGCTTACGCGCGAGCTTGCGCGGGCACCTTGCGCGCGAATGCTGGCATAATCGACATGTGTATCCAGCCCTTCGCCCAGGCCCGCCGCGTCTTGTGTAGCCACTCTTCTTTCTTTGAGGCGGGGGCTGGCGTGAGCGGGCTGCGCCCGAGCAGGTACACCCCTCACACGTTTCGTGGCCCCGCAGGGAGCTGCCCATCGCTCGTCCCACCTGCCTTGCGGTACTTGCACCTTCGTCTGGTCCCAGAGATCCGACGTCGTGATTTTTTCAATACGGAGTCCCTGGAGATCCCGACCACTTCCCCGGGACCGGTTTTTCATCCTGAATCCTTTTTTGACGGTCCTGGGGCCCGGTGAGGGCCCCTAGAGGCCGAAAAGGGCGAAAAACCGCCGTCTTGTTTTTTTCAATACGTTGGTTCCGCCCTTCGCCAGGATCACTTTGGGGTGGGGACGGGCGTGGGGCCCGCGGGAGCGCCCCCTCCTCCTCCTCTTCCTCCTCCCTCCTCCTCCTCCTCCTGCTCCTCTCCTCCTCGTCCTCCTCCCTCCTCGTGTCTCCTCCTCCTTCTGACTCTCCCTCCCCCCCTCACCCTCCTCCTCCTTCTCCTCCTTCTCCTCCTTCTCCCTCCTCCCTCCTCCTGTCTCCTTCTCCTCTTCCTCCTCTTCTTCCTCCTCCCTCCTCCTCCTCCTCCTCTCCTCTTCCTCCTCCTACCCTCCTCCTCCTCCTCCTCCTCCTCCTCCTCCTCTCATCCTCCTCCTCCTCCTCCTCCTCCTCCTCCTCCCTCCTCCCTCCTCCTCCTCCTCCTCCTCCTCTTCCCCCTCCTCCTCCTCCTCCTCCTCCTCCTCCTCCTCCTCCTCCTCCTCCTCCCACGGGCACGCGACCGTGCCGACGAGAAGCCACTCCGAACTCTGGGCGTTCCAATGTTTTCGCACTGGGCGTTTTAGCGCCTGGTGACGGGCCCCGGTGTTCCCTGGCCGATGCTATCGACGAAGACGATGATGCTCTGCCTCTGGTCAGACCCCTCTCGGCCGATCCCAGGCGTACGTTTAACAGCACAGTGACCCTCCAGGCGTAGGTAGATGAGATGGAAGAGGTAGCAGTATGGGGAGAGGTGGAAACTGGTCTGGGATCGGGTGTGGGCTGTGAGTTTATCGACGGCCTTGAGCCACAATGCTTACGGACCGATCTCCCCTATGTAGCATGCTCAAACCCAAGATGTTGGGCCATCATAGATCGATCGGGCTCGAAACAAATCGCAGAACGATACGGTCTAGAGCTCTGGCCGTGATTGTTCTTTATATTTCAACTTGCTTCGCAACGTCGGATCTCAGGGTTTTCTGAGGGGCAACGATAAGGGGGACTGGCTCACGGGAAAAAAACATCGACCTGGAATCGTCGATACATCGCCGATCGATTGGCGATAGGCATCCAGCAGCGAATCCGAAAACTCCTGGGCAGGGTGGGCTATCGAGCCCCTATCGGCGATGGATGGGCGACTGGGGATCGATGTACCCCCTCTGAGTCGATCCCCCCTGATGTTGCCCATGGTTCTCAAGGGCGCCAGAGAGGGCGACGAGGGTCACACAACAACGATCCTGCAAACCCCGAGCCCCGAACCTCGGTCCCAGAAAGATGCGAACAACATCGAGAGAGCCCCAGCCGTCGAAAGCTCGTCGTCGGAGGTCCGCGTCCGCTGACATCCTCCCCCCCCCCGGCTATGCCACCGCGGGCGCGGGGTCGCCGACGAGCGCGGAGCGACGAGTGCGACGACGCTTGCGATGAAGGGCACGACGACGAATGACGAACGAAAAGCCGAATGACGAATGCGACGAACGATCTCCCATGGGGGCCTCCTGGACCCCCCGAGGGCCCCAGAAGATCTCCAGTGCTTTCGAGAACCGTCTAACGGAAATCGTCGACGACAACAACGAACATTTGACGACGACGAACCCCGACGACGGCGACGACGAACAAGGAATCGCGAACGACGGCCGACGCCCGCGACGATGCCGACGCTGGATGTTCTGGGGAGGAGGGGGAGGAAGGAGGAGGCAGAAGAAGGGAGGAGGAGGAGGAGGAAAAGAAGGAGAGGAAAGAAGAAGAGGAGGGAGGAGCAGGCAGGAGGAGAGGAAAAGGAGAAGAGGAAGCAGAGAAGAGGAGAAAAAAGACGGGACGAGGAGGAGAGGAGGGACCGGCAGGTTGATTTGTGAGTTGGTGACCTCTCAGCGAGGTGGCATGTCGGGACTGCAGGCTCAGCCCTTTTAGAGGAGAGCTGCAAGGCCGAACCGGCGACCGACAGCAACCCCACAACGTCAGCCCAGGGCCGGGATGGATGAGACCACTCTCGGGAAGCAGCCCTGGGAGTCCCAGGAGAGGGGGGGAGGTACGAGGATTTGCGTGCCACCGTGCCCAACCTCCCTCAGCTCACAGGCTCCCTCCGGGGAGGTGCCACGCCCAAAGCCAGAAGGCAAACGCTAGACTTGGGTCTTCCTGGGGAGGGGGCATCAGCGGCCCACTGGCAGGGATCCTCGCCCAGTCTCGACTCCATCCTACGACAACGCACGACGTAGGTACGAGGCCAGCCAGATGGAGGGAGAGAGGAACAGACCCGGAGGGGAGAGAGTTTTTCCAGAAGATGGTCGCCTCTTGCTCCAGGAAGTCTCCTAGCGACGCTGCCTCGGAGAAGCCTGCATCCCCTGGCGACGTACTCAGCAGGACGCGGGGGCATTCCTCCCTAGATTTGGGTTGCGCTCTCCCTCGGGCCTGCCAGAAGGCAGCGCGCAACTGTTATGTGACCCCGCAGGCGCCTAAGACGTGGAAGGTCGGATTGCTGGAGGAGGAGGAGGAGGAGGAGGAGGAGGAGGAGGAAGAGAAGTAGGAGACAGGAGGAGGGAGAGGAGGAGGAGGAGGAGGAGGAGGAGGAGGAGGAGGAGGAGGAGGAAGAGGAGGAGGAGGAGGAGGAGGAGGAGGAGGAGGAGGAGGAGGAGAAGAAGGAGGAGACAGGAGGAGGGAGGAGGGAGGAGGGAGGAGGGAGGAGGAGGGAGGAGGAGGAGGAGGAGGAGGAGGACGAGGACGAGGAGGAGAGGAGGCGCGGGACGAGCGGCGCGGGACGAGCGACGGTGGCAGACGAGCGACGCCGGCGGCGCGTGCGCCACCGAAGGCGCGGGGCCGCCGAGGCCGCTCCGCGACCACGCCGAGCGGGAGCGCCCGCCGCGCTCGCTGCCGAGGGGCGGCAGGGACGCGATGGACTTCGCCTCCCAGTCGCGCTCCTTGAGGAGGAGGAGGAGGAGGAGGAGGAGGTGGAGGAGGAGGGATGAGGATGGAGGTGGGGATGAAGATGGGATGAAGGTGGGGTCAAGGTGGGAGGAGGTGCGACGAGGAGGAGGAGGAGGAGGAGGAGGAGGAGGAGGAGGAGGAGGGAGGAGGAGGAGGGAGGGAGGCAGGGAGGGAGGGAGGGGGGGAGGGGGGAGGAGGAGCGGAGGCGGAGGAGGAGGAGGAGGAGGAGGAGGAGGAGACGGAGGAGGAGGAGGCTGGAGGGAGGAGGGTGGAGAAAAGAGGAGGAGAAGGAGGGTGGATGTGGGTGGATGAGGAGGAAGGAGGGATGAGGAAAGGCCCCCAGGGTCGTCATAGTCCTACTGCGTTATGACATCGAACTTGCCTGGTACCTAGCACGCTCACAACTGTGCCAGCGGACGTCGGAAAGAAAGAGGAGGTAGGGAGGGGGAGGAGGGATGAAAGGGGGAGCATGGGGGGAAGAGGGGGGGAGGAGAGAAGATGAGTAGGATGAGGGAGCGGGGGGAGGAAGACGACGAGGGATGGGGGAGGATGAGGGATGAGGTTGAACGTGCTGAACGTGTAAGGGGCATTGCCAGGCTTCTCTGCGTCCACCTGGCTTGAACGGATGACCTCCGAAGCGGGTCCATGGAGGAGGAGGACGAGGAAGGTCGAGATGATGGGGCGTTCTTGGCACTTTGCATGTTTCGTTGGTCTCCCGAAGCCTCCGGCTGCCTGTGGACACTTCACTTCGCCAACCCGTCCTGCTCCCTAGGGAAGCTCGACCATCAGATCTGGACGTTGAGAAATCGCGACGGACAACTCTTCCGTGTTTTCGGCCACTGGGGACCGTCTCCTGGCCTCGCAGGACCGCCAAACAACGTAGTATGACCCCAGGGAAAACCACTGCACGAGATTATTTCGCTGCCGAGACGAACATCAGCGAGCTGTAAGGGTCGGGATCGATGGGTGCCTGAGTTCCAACCGAGCCTGCCCTGAGGCGGACACGCGCATCGCACAATCTGTCCCCAGAGGTGGTAGGGAGGTGGATGTAGAAGTGAATGCAAGTCGGCGTGAAGCGGAAGGAGAACAAGATACCCAAGAGGACAAAGAGAGGGCACAAGACTTGTGCGCATGACAATTCCCCTGCCCGCTTTTCTCCATCCCACTCAGAATCGAATACTGCCAAAACGTTCCAGACATTCAGGGCCCACACCACGGGTACAATGCGACGCTGGAGGAGGAGGAGGAGGAGGAGGAGGAGGAGGAGGAGGAGGAGGAGAGGAGGAGGAGGTGAGGTTTGGGGACCGAGCGCCCCCCCCGCCCACTCTCTTCGGGCCCCTGGGAGCTTCTCGCCCCCACGGTGGGCTTGTCCTCGAACCTTGGGTCCGCCCCCGCCGAACCAGAGGTGCTGGTCCAATGCAGCGAGGCAACCCCTAACCCCCTGAGGAGGCGAGGGACGATAACGACGACGAGGAGGAAAAAGGAGAGAAGTATGGTGGAGGAGGATGAGGAGGATGAGCGAGGAGGGATGTAGGAGCGATGAAAGAATAAGGGAGGATGAGGACGAGGAGGAGGGTTGATAGAAGTAGGGGTAATGCTGATGAGGAGGGGAGAAGGAGGAGAAGACGAGCATGGAAGCGAAGGAGGAGCAGGAGGAGGAGGAGAAGGAGGGAGGAGAGTGGATGGGGGAGGGGGAGGGACGGGGGGAGGGGGAGCGATCCTCAAACGGCCCCCTCTTACTGCATGGGAAGTGCCCTTTTGCGACGCCCCCACAGGCGCGGAAGAGACAACTATATAATCAAAACCCAGCCGAGGCTCCGGGATCAGCTTCTGCAGCTGCTCGTCGATGCGGCGCAACTTTTCCCACGAGCCTTGGCGAACGAGGGAAGGAAAGCCCTGAGGGAAGCGGTCCTCCCTGACGTCCTCGTGCCTGGAACGAATCACGACGGGCCCCAGGGGCCGTTAACGAAAACGAAGGGGCCCAGACTTGTGGGGATACAGGCTGCGACCAAGTCGTGACGTCTGATGGAACTGCTTCCCACCACCCTCACCAGAAGATGGAGGGGGGAAGGAGGTGGAGGACGAGGACGAGGAGGAGGAGGAGGAGGAGGAGGAGGAGGAGGAGGAGGAGGAGGAGGACCCCCTCCTCCCTCCAACCTATGGTGGTGGTGGTGGTGGTGGAAAACGGGCCCGTCGACGTCGGGTGTCTGGCGCCGGACGCCCCTCGGTGCCCTGCCTGGGGGCGGGGCGTGCAGCCTGAGCCGCGACTCAGGGCGGCCCCAGGGCCCCTCCCTCGTCCCCGTGCTCGTCTTGGCCTCTCCTTGTCCCCGTCTTGGCCTCCCTCGCCCTCGTCCTCGTCTTGGCCTTTCCTTGTCCTCGTCTTGGACTCCCTCGTTCTCGTCTTGGCCTTCCTCGTCCTCGTCCTCTTCTTGGCCTCCCTCGTCCTCGTCCTCGTCTTGACCTTCCCTCGTCCTCGTCTTGGCCTTTCCTTGTCCTCGCCCTGGCCTTCGGGGGGGCCCCGCGGAGGCCGGAGGCGGGCGGCAGCTCTCGGAGCCCCCGCCCCCCGGCAGCCCTGGAGCCAGGCAGCGTCTCTTGGTTGGCAGACAGCAGGCGTCTCGCCTCCTCCTCCTCTTGCATCGCCGTCCGCCCCCCCTCGCCTCCTCCTCCTCCTCCTCCCTCCTCCTCCTCCTCCTCCCTCCACCCTCCCCCGCCCGTCCCCTCCTCCCCCCCTTCCCCTCCTCCCTCCATCCCTCCCTCCCCCTCCTCCCTCCTCCTCCTCCTCCTCCCTCCTCCTCCTCCCTCTCCTCCTCCTCCTCCTCCTCCTCTACTCCCTCCTCCTCCTCCTCCTCCGTCTCCATCCCCTCCCTCCTCCCTCCTCCTCTCTCTCCTCCCTCCTCCTCCTCCTCCTCCTCCTCATCCTCCTCCTCATCCTCCCTCCCTCCCTCCTCCTCCCTCCTCCCTCCTCCCTCTCTCCCCTCCCTCCCTCCCTCCCTCCCTCCCTCCCTCCCTCCCTCCCTTCTCCCTCCTCCCTCCTCCCTCCTACCTCCTCCGTGCGAGCGGCGGAAAGAAAAAAACACGGGTGTCTGACGCGAGGAGGCGCAGCAGCCTCGCGCCACTGCTCGCGCGGGCCGCCAGCGCGGCACACCGCGTGGAGAAAACGGCGCGCACGGGCACCCCTGCGCGGGAAGCTGGTGCACGAATGTCCGCCATGCGGGTGCTACCACTGGGGCCTTCAGTTAGGCGGGCGAGGGGTGCACCACGATGGGCGGGCCGACGCCGCGCGGGGCAGCTCGCGCGCGAGTGCCCGCGCGGTGGTCCCCCGCGAAGCCTCGAGCGACCGCGCGCGGGCCCTCCTTCGTCTCGCCCTCCTCGCCCCTCGCCCATCCTCGCATCTCGCCCCTCGACCCTGCTTCTCGCCTCGCCCCTCGCTCCTCGCCCCTGCTCCTCACCCCCACCCTCGCCTCGTCGCTCCTCGCCCCTCTCCTCGCCTACCCTGCTGCTCCAGTTCGCATCTGCCTCCCCTCCTCCGCCTCCGCGCCCACTCGCCAGCTCTCTCCTCATCCCTCTCCTTCTTCCCTCCCCCCTCATTGGGTATGGTTCCCCGTGGCGGTGAGCCCTCGTCTGGCTCGAAGGGGTCGTCGTCCTCCGCCGGGGCTGCGCAGAGGTCCAGCTCCGCATCCTCGCCCGCACCCGGCGGGGGCTCCTGCGGGGGGGTGAGGGACCCTCGACGGAGGAGGAATAATGGCATATGGAAGAAGAAGAAGAAGAGGAGGAGGAACAATACTAATAATCATAATAATCATGCTTTGCTGCTAGGCCTGACCCTGGCACTCCTTGCCTCGGCCAGGCGTCAGTGAATGCGATGGGCGGGCGGGCACACGAAAGTGGTGCCTCGCACCCACTCGCAGCTCCGTCCACAAGCCTCTCCCAGTAGGCGTCACACTCCCACTGTAAGAGGGAGCGACAGGAGCAGGATAAAGGAACACACAGAGAAGGTGGAGGAGGACGGAAAGAGCAGGCGAGGGTAGAGGCGGAGGACGACGATAGGCATTATAGGTGGAGAAGGAGGAGGAGGGAGGACGGATGAAAGGGTGGAGGGCTGCAGAGGCCAGTCGGCCAGTCTCTAAGGAACATGGGGAGAAGGATCGAGATATGATAGCGGGAGAAAGCCATACAAAGGTAACAATGATAAGGAAGATGAATAAACCAGAGGACGAGGACGAGCATGGTAATACGACTGATGATGACGTTGGTGATGATACTAGTAATGCTGGCGCTAAGGGTAGTAATAATGTTGTTGGTGATGATGATGCTACTAATGATGATAAGTATGACCCCCTGCAGTTTCGTGAGCGTCGACGGCGCTTGCTGCTGTTGCCGATGATGATGATGGTGATGATGTTGCTGATGCTGATGGTGTTGATGGTGCCGATTAGTATTGTGATTATGCTGCTGATGATGATCATGATGCAGATGAACAGACATGCAGGGCGCCAGAGGAGGGGGGAGTCGAGCGGGATGAGAACGCTGAGCACAGGGGTGATAACCAGGACCAGGAGGGCACGAATTATCTGAATTCAGAAACACAGTACGGTGGACGACGAGGGGTGTCAGTATGATGATGGTGATGCTGATGCTGATGCTGCTGCTGATGGTGCTGCTGCTGCTGATGATGGTGATGATGATGATGCCGAGGAGAAGGAGGAGAAAAAGGAGGAGGAACATGAGCAGGGGGAGAGAAGAAACAGGAGCAGCATCAAGTGTACGGAGAAAATGGGAAGGGGGGGAGGCGGAGGAGGATGAGCCGAAGGAGGAGAGGGCGGGGAGGAAGACGATTGCAATGATAGGGAGAAGGAGGGAGGAGGGCGGATGCATAACGGTGGAGGACGGGGGACGTGCGGTGGAGGGAGGGAGGACGATGCAATAGGGGACGGGGGAGGGGACATGGCGGAGGAACTGCGCCGCCTTGCACGTAACGGTGAAATGGCGATCGGGCAATCGAACCTGGAGCCTCCTTGGTCCTCCTTCCCCCCACATCTTCCTGACGAAAAACTCCTTCCTGTCGCACCACCGGACGTGTCCGTAGGCTTCGCGATTGACCTGAGACTTCATGACGAATCACTAAATGCGCCGAAGCCTGAAATTTCAACGCTTTCCAGATCGTTTCAACATGTGGCTCTCGCCTGAATGCCGCGCACCTCCGTCTGCAACGTTTCCCCAAAGTACACGGCATCACGGGTCATGTAAGGAGGGCTCGTCGTTGTCAACATGTGACTTTCGCCTTAGCGCCGCGCGCATTCGCCTCCAACGCCTCCAAGAGGCACATGGGTGGGGATCAACACGTTTTCAAACTGCCCCCCCGCTGGGTACAACCTCAGCACATCTTACCACACGTACAGTGTAGCAGTGATGCGGATGGAGGGCGGCCCTTGCCCGTAAGGAGGCTCTATCATGCGACTTCTCTCACAAGTTGTGGCCAGAAGTTGAAACGTGTGCAGCAGTTACACGGATGCAGCGCGGTTCCTTCTCGAAACGGGGCTGTCGCTCGGCCAGTGCTGGCAACTGCCGTGGGCGTTACAACCCCACCTTGTCGCATTCCATAGAAGTCGAATGGTGAAAGACTGCGATCTTCAACAATGAACTCCCGCCTGAATTTCGGGCCCTCGTCTTTCCAGGGGGGAGCTTCCCGCAGCGAAGAAGAATGTTTGCAAGGACGCATGGGGAAACACTTGGAACGGAGGGCTGTATTGCAGCACCGTTGACGCAATTTTGGTTTAGTCTCAACATCCTCCCCGACCCTGGTAACATCGAAGTTCGAATGAGAACGCTGCCACACCCGTGCCCGAGCCACGAGGCGGGGGGGGGGGCCGGAAACACATCTAGGATATAACAATGTGTAAACGTGGCGCGCGTTGACCAAAAAGAGAGGGGTGAGGGTATTGGGGAGGGAGGGGTGGCTGCGGAGTGACCGTTGCAGCTGCGGTCGGCCATGCGGTCCTTCGTCCTTCTCCTCCTCCCCCTGCCCCCCGTCCCCGCCCTGCCCTCTGCCTCCCGTCTACTATCATAACGTCGGCCTGGACGCCTCCCAGGCTCTCCTACAACATCCTCACCGCTCTGTCGAGCCGCGTCCAGATGCGGCCACGAAGGCGCCCGAGGGAGCCTCTATCAAAATCCTTCTTCCTCCTCGGAATGAAAACGACCCGGTACGAATACAATAGGAGCTCGACCACAAGAAACCTTCCACAAGAAACTCGACCCTGAGACACCAGGACGTCCGATGATTTTTGGTGTGGGAACGCCACGCTACATCCATAGCAAAGCCATCGAAACCCAAGACGCCCAGGCCACCCTGGAGGCAGGCATGGCGTTGCTTGGCATGGGCTTCCACTGTGCAAGTCTCCTCCTTCCCCCAAGCACGCGCCGAGAGGAGCGCGCCCCCCTCTGCGTCCTGCTTCACCACAGGTTGGGTTGGTCCCTGGTCTTCTCATGCGTGTGTTTTGCCCCTCCGAACGCTCTCGGTCCCTCCCAAACTGGCGCTCCCGCTGCAGCTTGTGCCTTATTTTCCCAGATCGCGGCTTTGCTCCCGTCGTTCTGAATTGCGCTCTTGCCCTGGCGCGAGCCTTTTTGTGGACCCGGATCATTCCTCTTCGTTGTCGCCCCTTCCTTTCCCCTTGTCCGTCTTCCCCTGGTCCTCTTGCTCCTCCCGCTCCAAGTCCTGCTGCTGCTGCTGTTCGTCTTCGTCCTCTTCTTTCCTCTTTTCCTCCTGCTTATCCGTCACTTCCTCCTCCTCCTCCTCGTCCTCCTCCTCCTACGTACACAAGTCCCAGTGTCCGATTATTCATAATTCGCACGATGGGGTCTCGTTGCCTAACGATCCTGTGATATTGGGTCCCGCGTCCCCTCCTCCTCTCCCTGTCTCCTCTCCTCCTCCCCCTCCTCCCTCCTCCCATTTCTGCCTCTGGTATCCGCGGCCGGCCATCACCGCTGGCATTGTCATCGCCAACGTCATCAACACCGCCATCACCATCACACATCATCATCACCATCAGCAACATCACCATCACCATCATCATCATCATCCTCCTCATCATCATCGCATCACCAAGGGCAGCATCGCGAAACTCAATTCAACTCCCATTCCTCTCTCCTCCCATCCCTGCCGCAGCCGTCGGAATGTTCTGCTTTGGCGCATTCTTCACATGCTTCGTGGCCCTATAGGATGCATGACCGAATGCCTTGTTATCGTCGTGCCTCTGTTCTCCGCGTGTGCACAATTTCAGCACCCCGCTCACATGGGCCCGGTCGTGGCCCCATAGGGAACTCAACCGGAAGCCCAAGTGGCAGTGTCCGCATGTTCCCGAAGTTCATTTTGACACCCCCTCTCACACGTTCTGTGGCCCCAGAGGGAGCTCCACCGAAAGCCCCAAGGACAGGGTCTGCATGCGCCCCGCGCCTATTTGGCACACCCCTCACGAAGATCGTGGCCCCATAGGGAGCTCCACCGAAGGCCCCATTTGCAGGGTCCGCATGCGCCCGACGCCCATGTTAGCATACCCCAGCACGCAGTTCCCCGTAGATAGCTCCACCGAAAGCCCCAATGGCATGGCCCGCATGCGCCCGAAATCCCATCTGGCACACCTCTCACACGGCTCGTGGCCCCGTAGGGAGCTCCACCGATCGCCCCAATGGCAAGATCCCCCTGCGCAGGCCTGGGAAGCAGGTCCCTCCAGCCATCCGGGCCACGTGGAGGGTTGTGCAGCTGAAGCCCCGCGATCGTCAGCTCCGGGAGGACACGTTCCAGAATGGCCACATGATCGGGTCCTGTTGGGACACTGGCTCGGTGAAAGAGCATGCGCGCCCACCGGGACGCGAACGTCCTGAAGAAAGCGCTCTTCCTCGTGCAGGCAACCGACGAGTCTGCCCTGGCGACGAGGGTGAAAGATGCCGGTAGGATGATGAACTGCGTCAGTCCGAAGTACACCGGTGGCATGCACGGGCTCCTCCCGGCGCAGGTCGACAGGCGCATACGGCTCCTGGAGGCGCTCGACCGCAAGAGCTGCCTTGCCGAAGGCCAGATTGTACACATGTCGTGGACCCGCGGGAAAAGGACGAGGTCGATCACGCGGACAGAGACGGAGCGAAGAGGATTTACCTGGAGCGCTTGCCGCTGGGGGTCTGGGTGCGCATAGAAATTCACGAGCGCGCCCTAAAACTGGCGACATGGAGCGCCACGACGACAGCCTCGGGGGGGACCTCGCGGGCCCGCTGGTGTGCATCGAGCCTCGCACGTCGGAGCCGTTCATCTTCCGTGCCTTCAAGGCCACCCGAACGGACTTCTCGTTCTCCCACGGCAGTGTCATCACCACGGTGGCGTGCCAAGGGCGCACCATGCGAAAAGACGACCGTGCGAGGGAACGGCGCTCACGGGCAGTCCGCGGCCGTGCCTCCTGGGCGCGAGCGATCTGCGGACCACGCCCTCTCGCTTCTGTGGACTCTCGCCCTGGACGGTCGGCTGCCCGGCGCGCTGCCCCCTCGGCGGACGTCGCCCAGGCGTGATCCTGGACTGCGGCCGCCACGGGGTCGGGACCAGCAAAAAGGACGACGACTGGCGGCTGGAACTTTACGTGCTGCTCTTGCGGGCCATGCGCCACGAGGACCTCCTGCTCATGAGGGCGCCGCGCGTCGAGTTATTCCTGGCAGGACCGCCAGAGGGCTTGCGGAAGCAATTGGGGCAGTTTGCGACGCGCACGAAACGTTGCAGGCGGGAGGCGACGGCGAGGCCTGACGAAAGGGGCGGCCAGCCCGAGCCGCGCCCTCTTCATTCGACTGTCTCGCAGCTTGGCCTTGCGCCGTTGACGATCTACGCCCGCCGCTGTGACCCTCTCGGGGCGGCCAACGCGCGTCGCGAGGACTCCCTGGCGCTTTGCGTTTTGTCAGCCGACTGTTTTTCTGCTTAGTGCCGCGGGCGCGCGTCGCCGGGACTGCCCTGGGACGATCGGCGCGCGTCGCAGGGACTCCGCGTTGCGCTCGGCCCAGAGCCGCGGCCACCCGGGCGGTAGGACAAATGGAGGAGAAAGAGTTGAGCCGGGAAGAAACTTGTGACAGAACGGCCGCGCACAAAGCGAATGCAACGCGCAAATGAAGACAAAACGGCCGTGCACAGGGCTTGGGCCACCGTAGGCCAGCCGGGTAGAAGTGCAACGCGTAACGGAAACAAGGAGAGAGGAGAGTGAGCTGGGAAGAAAATGGAAACAAAACGGCCGCGCACGGGGCTCAGACCAAACCAAGAAAACTTCCCACCCGCCCGCGTCAGCTCATCTCCCCCTCATCCACGCCGCAGTTCTGTTGCTGGCCCCACATCCTTCGTCTCAAGTGCCTCGCGATTCTGGCAGTTGCATGTGGTTGGGTCTTTCGTTCGACTAGTTTTTAGTGCCAGGTCCGCTGTAACACGCGTCCGCGGATAGACAAGCAGTCAGCGCAATGGAAATGGCTGGGTGGACGGGTTAGTATGTCAGATACGGCGCGAGCGCGCCTACCCTTTCATCTTCTCCTCTCCTCCTTCACCCTCCTCCTCCTCCTCCTCCTTCTTCTCCTCCTCCTCCTCCTCCTCCTCCTCCTCATCCTCCTCATCCTCATCCTCATTATAATCCTCATCCTCCTCCTTCCTCCTCCTCCTCCACCTCCTCCCTCTCCTCCTGCTTCTCCTCCTCCTCCTCCTCCTCCTCCGTCGCATGTTTGTCATATACGTGGGCCCGCCGTGGATCTCGACACATTCCCGGGACTCCGTTGCTCATCTCGAGTTGTGGTTGTGCAGTTCTGGCGCCCGAAATCAGCCTCAAGATACCGAAAACGTGGAACACACAACCGTCGCGCTTGTTTCGAATCGCCCAGATCTCCCCCGCATCCTCCTCTTCATCCTCCTCCCCTTCGTCCTACTCCTCCTCCCAAAGCGGAGAGCAAGTAAAATGTTCAATGGGCTGTGGCGAAGGCGCTCAGAGCAACCGAGAAGCGTACACATTGCCGCCATGTGACAATCGTGCAAGTTGTGTAGACACTCGTTGGCTCCGTCGTTTGGGTACTCATGCTCATTGTTATCGTCTACCAGCCCCCCGCGGAGGCCTCCTCCATGCTGGTCAGGGAAGGCCGCAGTTGTCTGGAGTCGCCATCCTCCGATCGATCGATCCTCCTCCTCCTCCTCCTGCTCCTCCTCCTCCTTCTCCTCCTGCTCCTCCTCATCCTCCTCCATTCCTTTCCAGACAGCGGGCCGGGCGTTTCGCTGGTGCTTAAACGTTGAAAACAGTTTCGTAAATGAAGTGCGGGTGGTTTTCAAAATGTGGCTCTCGCCTTGGCGCCGCGCACATTCGATTTGATCATTTGCAAGTGTTTCACGGATTCAGGGCAGGCCGTTTTCAAACTGTGTCTCTCGCATTAGCGCCGCGCACATTCGTTGTAAAACGTTGCAAGAGCTTCGTGGATTGAGGGCGGTTCGTTCTCAAGATGTGGCTCTCGCCTTTGCGCCGCGCGCATTCGTTTTAAACCATTGCAAGAACCCCACGGATTGAGGGCGGATGGTTTTCAACATGCGGCTCTCGTCTTAGCGCCACGCACGTTCGTTTTACAACTTGTGAGCGCTTCACGGATTGACGGCGGCTCGTTTCCAACATGTGGCTCTCGGCTTAGCGTCGCACAGTTTCAAACATTCAAGCGCTTTATCGCCGCCGCAGAGGTAGCGGATTCGTTTTAAGCATTCGCATGAGTTTCAAGGGTTCTGACGGCTTACGTGCCAGAAATTGTTTTGGAGCGGCTCAAGATTGCCAAGGCGCAACACTTATGTTGCTTAGCGGTGTTGAAGTCCCGGGAATGGTGTTCTGGCACGATTCAGGACAGCCAAAGATGGAACAGTCAGGTTAATCCGTAGCGTCGAAGTCGTGAATTGCGTTTTGGCGCGATTCAAGATGTTCACACGGTTGTACCACAACGGGGCAATTCCTTCAGTGGAAATAGCCCCTTGTAAAGGCCCGTGAAGAGGGATATTGGAAGGACGTTGTATTTCAACAGCGTTGACGAGTTTGGGGTTGACGTTGTTCCTCCTCCTCCTCCTCCTCCTCCTCCTCCTCCTCCTCCTCCTCCAACTCCTCCTCCTCTTCCTCTTCCTTCTACTCCTCCTCAACACTACTGGCCAACCGCCCGCCCGCCCGCGGGTCCTCTTCCACCCTGGCCAACTGCACGCCCGCTCGCGCGTCCAGACCCGAACCGCGGGGCGCGGGGTGTTCTGCGGCTGCCGCTGGCGCCTCCCGCCGGCGCGCCTGTCGCCACGGGGCACGTCAGGTCAAGGTCGTCGTCGTCGTCGTCGCCGTTGTCGTCGACATCTTTCTTCCTCCTCGTCCTCCTCTTCCTCCTCCGCCGCCCCCTCCTCCCACTCTTCCCCCTTCTCCTCCTCCGCATCTTCCTCCTTTTCCTGCCATGACCTCCCAAAGGTCTCTGGGCCGAATCGTCCCCCACCAGCTGAGCCCCGAAGGCTTTCCAGGGAACCCTGAGCTGTGCTGAATGGCCACTCGCGCCAAAACCGGTCAAAAACCGGTGCCTTCGTAAGGATTTTAAATTCGGGTTCCCCGAAACATAGAAAACAACACTTGGTTTGCAACCCGATGCATCAAACAACTCTCTGCTTCTTCGAATTGTCACGACAATATTTGCTTTGAACATTTTGATCACGTGCGGCCAAGCGGGCATCTCGCGCGCGCGTGCCGAGATCATTCGAACGCCTTCGCGCGTTTGCTGGCGACGCGATCCCTGTCAAAAGATACCCGGCGGGCCACTCGCGTCCGTCGGCCGCGCGCGCATGTCGAAATTCATCCAAACCAATCACAACCGTCTCGTGAACACCGTCATCGTCATCGTCGTGACCAGAATCGGCGCCGTCATTGGCCTTGGCGTCGTTATCGTCGTCCTCGTCACCTGAATCTCTGCTATCATCATCGTGTCTGCCGTTGTCCGCGTCGCCATGACGCCGCGCCCACCCGAACCGCCACCTGGCACTGAAGTGCCCGCGCGTCAGCGCGGCCTGGGAGACGCGCTTGAAAATCCACAGCGGTCACCGCCACCGCGGCCGCGTCGGTTGCGCCAGACCAGCTGGCCGCTCTGCGAGCGAGCCTGCGCGCGCTGGCGCGGCCGCAAGGCTGCGCCACAGAGCGCCGAGCATTCACTGCAACCGCTGCCGCATTGATTTTGCAAATCAAGTGAAGGGTGGGTGGGTGGGATGACTGCGCGTGTAGTGGAATTGACAACCCGCTGCGGGCAAACATTAGGTCTCCACAAAGATTGCACCACATGGGATACTCAACGCCGACTGCAACACATCTGCTGCACCAGATGCGCTGCGCCCCATAGAATCACGACGAAGAACGCACCACATATATTACACCACGCATATGGCACCACAGCTATTGCCCCACAACTATTGCACAGCGTCGATTGCACAGCATCTGCTGCATCACATCGACTAAGCTGCGTAGGTTGCACCACGTATGCTGCGCCGCAAATTCGGCGCAATGTATATTGCACCGCGCCAGTTGCACCACGTGCACCGCTGTCCACATAGATTGCATCACATTCGCTGTACCATATCTACTGCTCAATATACATTGCACCACGTATAGTGCACCACATATACTGTACCACGTAGATGATTCCACACACACACATATTGCGCAGCACGCGTGCGAACTACATTGCGCCATGCCGAATGCAATGCGCAAGGATGCCCCACCTAGATTGTGCAACGCATACTGCTAGAAGGACAACTTGTTCACTGATTCTGAGTCCAAAGAAGGAGGCCACCTGGGGGCCGTCAAAATACGCCATGGGCGGAGCAGTTGGAAGTGCGGCCGGCTGCCGCCCAGCGACCCTCACGCGCGAGGAATGCCTCGATATTGGACTGGTCGCGGCTGGTGAACAGTTCCGACTCTTTGACCAGCACTTCGACTTCATTGACGCAGGCGCCGAACAGCAACCCAGTTTATAATGGGCTTTGTCACGACAACCTCAGCGCCATTGGTGGTCTCAACACGCGCCGTGGAGGAGCTGTCGGTCTGCGCGGCTCTCGCGCGCTTGGCTAGCTCGGGTGGCTTCGTGGGCGTGCTAGTTTGCCGGCCTGCTATGTGCAGCGCGCGATGGCATGGCCTCTCAGCAATCGGGGCATTCTGCGCGAGTATGAGGCGACTGTCATTGCGAAAACCTTCGCTTCTCAGGTGCGGATCACGCCCCTGTTAACCCGCATTTGAGGAGAGGGGGGGGGGGGGGGGCGACTCGGCATCGAAGGGGCCGACTCCCACCGACGGCTGGCGCGCGGGCGGGAACGCGAACCCCGCGCGGCGCCTGCGGCCGGCGGGGCGCGGGTTCCGTCGCGCGGCCGCGACGTTCAACGCAGCGGCTCCGCCCGGATCGGCGCGGCGCCAGCGCGCGCGGCGGGCGCGCAGAACATGTCGCGCCCGCTTGGCGCGCGCCTTGCCCGCGCGCTGGCCGCGAGGCGGCGGCCCCCCTGAAGCCCCAATGCCTCTCCCGACGCACCGACCCGCCGCGGCTCGGCCTAGCGGCGGGCGGCGCCGGCGCCCGGCGCCGGCGCCTGGCGCGCGGGCCCCGGCCGCGCGGCGCCGAGCTGCGCGTCGCCACCCCGTCTGACAGGCCCCGCGACCGCTGGGGCTCGCGCTGGTGGCCGTCGGGGGCGCGACCGAAGGCGACGGCCGACGCGGCTGTCGCGCGCGCAATTGTTGCCGCGCCAAATCGACGAGACTGATCTCGCCCGAACCCGCGCCGCAAAACGTGCAGAACGACTTCGCCCGGCGCGCGGGCAGCTCCTGCTCGTCGACGCCCCCGCGGTCGCTCAGCCGATCCCACGTGCGCGGGGATATCTGGCGGTTGACTCTTTCCCCAATTCAATCGCCCCTGCCGGGGCGCACGGGAAGCGCGCGACCGCCTCCATCGGGGGAATGCCGCGGCGAAGGGGCGTGATCAGCGCCGTCAGCTCACTGCGGTCCTTGCCCAAACTTCCCCGCAGCGGCCCGGATGTCGACGCGAGGAGCTGCGGCGCGCCCGACCGGAGCCACTGCGCTCCAACCCGTGCCCCCGCAGCCGTCGAACTCCGCTTCGAAGCCCGTCGCCTCGCCCGCGCCCCAACGGCGCGGCGCCCTCGCGCTCGCCGTTGCAGCGCGCCCCCGCGAGACTGGCGGGCGGCATTCCTGGCGGGGATGACGGGGGGCAGCGCCCCGGCAGGGGCCGCGCCTCCACAGGGTCCGCGCGCGCCCGCAGAGCCTGGGCCCCCGCGGGCAGCGCTGGCCTGCCCCGCCAGCCCCCGCAGTCGCGGCGCCGCCGCAGCAACGTGCCGCGAGCAGGGCGCAAGGGGCAATCGTCGGCGTCGGGCGTGGCGGCGTCTCCTCCGCCCCCGCGGCCACTGCCCGTTGGCGACTAGCTGGGCGGTCGGGGGCGCAGGCGCGCTTCGGGCGACCGCGCTCGCCCGCGCGGTCGCCCGCCACGGCGAGTGCCCAATGGTGGCGACAAGCCCTGCGGAGCCGAGCCTTGCCATGGGCCAGAACGCGCCTCCGCGCGCAGAGGGGGCGCGCCCCGGGCCCGCCGCCGCCTGCCGCCGCTGTCGCGTCTCCACGGCGCGACGAGGCAGCCGGGAGGCGCGTCGAATAACTATCTCTAGCTCCTGGCCAGCCAGGATCATCCGTGCGCCCTCGCCAGGCACTTCCCAGCACGCGCGACGCGGAGTTTCCGCGCGGCTGAGAGTGGACCCTGCGCGCGCGCCCAGGTCGCGGCACGCCTCGCCCGCAGGCGAGAATCCACCGCGTGCCAAGGCGCCCCGCCGACCCAGATCGCTCTCAGTAGCATCGCGATGGGCGTCAGCGCGGCGCGGGACATCGGGCCCAGATCGGAGCGTAGCATGAGTGGCGGCCCGCGGGGTCTGCCCTCCGCACAGGCCGACGACGCCGCGCGGGCGGCGGGCCGCAGCTTCGCCCTGCGCGCTGCCGCTCGCGCAGCGCGCAGCAGCTTGTCCACGAGCGCCTCGGCGCAGCCGGCGGCCCCGCGGCCGCGCGAGCCGCTCGGCCCTAGCCCTGCGAGCACCACCTCGCGCGCTACAGCCTTGCGGTCTCTGCCGCGGCCGACGACTGACCCCCTTCAGATCCGCCGCAGGAGTCGATGCCGAGGTCGCGCTCCTTCGCCGCCGCGACCGCGCCAAGCGGTGGTCCAATGCGCCGCTGGGGCACCTCGCGAGCCTCGGCCGCAATGTCGAACGCCCGCGCCTTCCAGAAACAGCTTCAGCCGGAAGGCCGCGCCGGCGACCTCGCGCGCCGCGCGCGGCTGGCCGCCCGCGCGGCAAAGAATGAGGGCACCGATCGCCGCCGCAAGCGACACCAACTAGCACGTCGACTGCAGTTTATCTAGCGGCGCCAACAAAATCATCCCCGGAGAGACAGCGTGGTCCACCCACCACCAGGCAGGATGGTCAGCGCGTATGGCGCCACGCGCTGCGACGCCGAGGACAAGCCTGCGCGGTGCGCGAATCAGCCCTCTTTGCAGCTTGAACTGCCACAAACGGATACAATTCTGATGGCCCCGTCAATCAGGCAGTGGTGCAGTGCCTGCTCGAAGGCCTCGAGTAGATCCTGCAGCGTGGCCACCCCCCTCTGCGCGGCAGGGTCTGCAGAAGGGCGGTCCTTGGCGGTGGCCCACTCGCCTTCCGCGGCCTACTGCCGCGCGGCACTCTCGCGGCCGCGCCCATGCGAGGCTCAAAAGTTGTGCTCGTGGTTGCGGTGCTCCCAATCGAGGGCCAGCGGCCGTCGCAAGCGCGCCTGCGCGCGCGCTAGAAAAATGTGACGGCGATCGGCCGCGCCCCGCCAGACCGCTTTTCGAGGAAACCGAACTTGGTGGCGAGGCTCGGCCAGGCCGCGCCGCGTTTCGCCGCCGCGAATATGTTGATGAAGACCCCCAGTGCGTCATTGCCCATTTCGAGCAGCTGCCTCGGCCTGATAATCACACGACGTGCCCGAACCGACAAAAGGTCTTGGGGCAGGCGCGGGACTCACCGACCGAGGGGCGAGGATGGCAAAGCCTGGGACCACTGGCCAGGCACATTCGACGCGTCACCACTGTTTTCGTTCTTCGGCGAACAGCTCTATCTCGGAGCCGAAGTCGCAGAACCCGCCAGCGCAGGAGGAAGGTGGACAAACCGCCTCCGCCACCGCCTCGTGCACCACCGCAGAACGCACGACCTCCCACTAGCGTCTGGAAGACAATCGGAACAGTACCAGCGGGGGCACCGGCTGCTGCCAATGGCAAACCGCCGTCCCGAAGAAAGTGGACACGATCCCATGGCACCGTCGATATTTTTCTGCCTGAAGATATCTGGGGGACGCAGGGGACATTCGTTCTGTTTGCTGATTCCGCCCAAGGGGTAAAAGATACTCCAAATCTCACAACAGCGGGGGGCGGGCCAAAAAAGTGTTTGACAGCGCGTCCGGGACCCCTCCAACATCGATGAAGCAACGGGTCCAGCACCGAACCCCCCAGACAATGTTTTTTAACGAGGCCCGTTAGACCCCCCACAAAAATAGACCCCCCCTGTTACGAGATCCGGAGTATTCTGCCTGGTTCCCGATGGCATTCGCCCCCCAAAGGCTTTTTGACACCGAGCTGGGGTGCGAGACGAAAAGCACGAGAGGCCACGCAGAGGCTCTGTAGGCCGCGCAGGGGCTCTCTTTAGAGGCGGGCCGCGCACGGGCCTGCGACAGGCCGCGCACCAAAACTCGGAAGTCCGCAATGGGAATGTCACATTATTGTTTGTTCTCATGTATGGAAGTCTCGGCCCCGAGGGCACAGGGGCGAGCAGGGGGCCATGCCAAGCAACGGGAGGCGATCGGCGCACGGCTCAACTTCCGCAAGCGGGAGCAGGGAGCGCACCGTTCACCAACCCGCCGCAAGGTACAGCCCGCCGAGGGGTGGAGGGGTTGAAATCTCGGCGGGCGATGGACAAACCTCCCTTTAGTAAGCCACCCTTTAGCGAAAACTGCCTAGGGCCGAAACCGACGGGCATGGACCCGCAAGAATGACGGCCGCGACGCCCTCTCGCGAATCGGAAACGGCCAATTCGCTAATCGACGTGTCAGGGTAGGAGATCTATGAACCTCCCTCCGAAAATCCGACCCTCTCGTGAGGTTGCAATCGGTGTCAGCTGGCTCCTGAACAGACCGAAGTGGTGGTTATCGGTCCTGCTCTCAGGGGGGGGGGAGGAGGAGGGGTACGGGGGGGGCGGGAAGGAGGAGGGGAAAGGGGATGGGGGAGGAGGGGGCGAGATGCTGGGCAGCTACTCGCTTGAGTCGTGAGTCTGGGATGAAGCGCCCTCCAAACGCCTCGCGCCGTCAGCGCTGACCCCCGTTGCGCGGGGACGCGCCAAGATGCATTGGGAATCCGTGGCTTCGACACGCAGGCGCCGGACCCACCGATCCGCACAGGCTCCTGACCGTAATCCACTCGCAGGCGCCCGAGGCGCCAGCGCCCGCCGCGGCCGCCGAGGCCGCGCCGGCGGCGGAAGCCGAGCCCCCCCGCCGGCCGAGGCCGTGGGCGCCGCGGCCGTGGGCGCCGCTGCCGTGGGCGCCGCGGGCCGCTTGCGCGCGGCGGACCGTCGTGAATCCACGCGCCTTTTACGGTCGGGAATTTTCGGGTAGCGTGTCGCGGCAGCGGCCCAGCGACAGGCTATGCCCTGCGAGCGGATGGCGTGCCGCTCGGTTCCGCGGTGGCGGGAGGCTTGGAAAGGCTCGGGACGTTTGACGCTTCAATCGGGGCCGCGAAGGGGATAGCCTGTCGCGCCGAAGCGCGGTGGCCCACACCGGGCGGCGCGACGCGATTAGCCAAAGTTCCTGGCAGTAATCAATATCTGCGTTTCCCCGGGTTACTTTTAAGTCGGGCATGTCCCTCTACGGGGGGAATATCAACAAATAGCCCAAACATAGTATGGGGACGATTTCTCAGTACTTAGGAACATCTTTTTGCATGTTGTTTGAACGTGATATATCTCTCGTCCTAAATACCCCTGTCGGGGGCATGCCCGACCTAAAATTACTTGCGCTGCCCGCCCCTCGCGGCTCCTCAGCCGCCCCCCCCCCCCGAGGGCGGGCCCGCGCAGGCCGCGCCTGCTCTGTCGGCAACGCGCCCCCGACGGAAGTGAGGCTGAACGTGGACGTGTCGGGCTCCTCCCGGGCGCCACGCCCCTCGTGCTCCTCCTCCCCGTCCTCGGCATCGTTTCCTCTTCGTCCTCGTCCTCAACCTCCTCCTCCTCCTCCTCCCCCTCCGCCTCCTTCTCTCCCTCGTCCTCAATCTCATCCTCGCCCTCTTCCTTTTGATCCTCTCTCTCTCTCCGCTTCCCTCTCCCCGACATCCTCGCGTCGCGAAGCCCAAACAATTGAAAGTGTTAGGCATTTCTCCGCCTTCCACCCGTCGTCCTCCAATCTGCTCCTTCGAAGTAGCTCCCTGTCGCGATCCCCGTCCCGCGTGGCGGTCGGGCGGGCCCGGCGTTTCGCTGGACACTTCCGCCTAAATTCTGAATGTGGACCTTTGCAGTAACTGGAAAAATGGAGCAACGGTGGTTCGATGTGGCACTCGCCTCAGCGCCACGCGCGCTCGCCCAACAAAACACACAGCAGCTAAAAGGATTGAACACAAGTTGTTGTCAACATGTGGCTATCGCCTTTAGACCACGCGCGGTCGTCCCAACATCTTGCCACACTCGCAAGAATGGAGGGCGGCCCCTGTTCAACGTGAAGCTGCCGCTTGAGCTCCGCGCACCCTCGCCTTCGACGCTTGCAGCAACTACAGCAATGGACGGCGACACGTTTTCAAACCGGGCATCTCGCCGTCGCGCCGTTTATTTTGTTTTTTGTGCATATAATCATATATACACATATTCTCAGCTGGGTCTTAAACGCTTGCACCAGTTATGCGGATCGAAGGCGGACTATTCCAAATTAGGGCTCTCGCCAAGGACTTCCGTAAATCTTGAATCTTATGACCAGGGAGCTGAACATGCGTCTGCACGTGGGGAAGGCGGTTCCATGCCACAGTGGAGCTCTGTTTTGGAATTTCCTGGCAGATCACTGCGAGGAGCGCGACCTTGCGCAATAATCACACATATGGGGGCTGGACTTCAAAATCTGTATCTCGCTGGACACATCTTGGAGCTGTACGTTCGTATCTGTTCGAGGCCTTATTTCCAATATTTGGCTAGACGGATGCAAGCCAGTTCCTTTTCAGAAAGGGGCTCCCGCATAATGGCAAGCCCATGAAGTATGTGTGGCTCTTGTCCAAGAGAAGGCGTTTCTTGCAGTGGAATGCGGAAGAAATCAGCCACCGTGTCTCTGGGCACGGAGTGGGCGTGTCCACAGGTCCTCTCGCGACCCTCTAAGCCTCTGTCCTCACTCCTGAGGGGTGCTAAAACAAGGGTTCGGAACCCCTCGTCTCGAATCTCTCGGGGCTCGTCACGCTTTGTCGCGTGACCGCTCGGGCCCAAGAGGGCCCCGAGACGGGCCCAGAGGGCTCCGAGAGGCCCCCGAGACGGCCCCAAAAGGCGCCGAGTCCTCGCGCCGTCGCTCCAAGACACCCAAGATGGCCCCCAGACGGCCCAAGCGGCCCCCAACACCGCCCCGCGACGGCGCGAGAGGCTTCCGAGAGGGTCCAAAAACTGCCCGAGAGGGCCCCGAGACAGCCCGGGAGGCGCCCCAAAAGGCTAAAGAGGGCCCCGAGACGACCCCCAAAGGAACCCCAAAAGAGGGAACGCGAATGGAAAATCATAGCCTTCCGCCCAAGAGGCGCCCAGGAGCCCCCAATTGGCCCCCGCAGCGCTCCAAGAGACACCCGAAAGGCCCAGAGAGGACCCCTAGAGACCACCAAACGGCCACCAAGAGGCGCCCAAACTGCCCTCGAGAGGCCCGCGAGAAGCCCCCCCCCGAGATCTCGACGAACATCCAACGGGCTTCGTGCCCGCAACCCAGGTGCAGTGGCGGCATCGGCCGAAGGCCATCCGATGGCGCGCATGGGTGTATGATGGGACTTCGGACGCGTTGTGGGTGCCGCTTTCGGTGGAACTCCATATGGGGCCACGGAACGCGTGAGGGACGTGCCGTCATGGGTGGGGGAAACGCATGCGGGCGGTGCCACTTGGGCATTATTCGGTGGGGCCCCCTATGGGCCACGAAACGCTGTCCTGGGTGTGGCTGACGCATGCGGGCGGTGCCCCTCGCTGGAGCTCCCGATGAGGCCACGAAGCGCTGTATTGGTTGGGGGAAACACATGCGGGCGGTGCCGCTAGGGTCTTTCTGTGGAGCTCCCTACGGGGCCACGATACGCTGCACTGGGTGGTGGCCGACGCATGCGGGCGGTGCCACTGGGGGCTTTCTGCGGAGCTCCCTACGGGGCCACGGGAGGGGGGGGCACATGTGGGCGTTGCCACTGGGGCCTTCGGTGGCCACTCGAGCTTCCTACGGGCCACGAAACGCTGTACCGGATGGGTGGGGCACATGCCGGCGGTGCCACTGGGGCTTGGTGGAGCTCCCAATCCACCAGGCCGCGAAATGCAATACTGGGTGGTGGACGCCACATGCGGGCGGTGCCACTGGGGTCTTTCTGTGGAGCTCCCTATGGGGCCACGAGTCGCTGTACTGGGTGTGGCGAACGCATGTGGCCACCCACCCCCACTGGTGCCTTGGGTGGAGCTCCCTATGGGGCCACGAAGCGCTGTACTGGGTGTGGCGGAAGCATGTGGCCACCCCCACTGGGGCTGCAGGTGGAGCGTCTAATGGGGCCACGAAACGCTGTACTGGGTGTGGCGGACGCATGTGGCCACCCCCACTGGGGCCGCAGGTGGAGCTCCCTAAGGGGCCACGAAGCGCTGTACTGGGTGTGGCGGGCGCATGTGGCCACCCCCACTGGGGCCTTGGGTGGAGCTCCCTATCGGGCCACGAAGCGTTGTACTGGGCGTGGCGGACGCATGTGGCCACCCATACTGGGGCCTTGGGTGGAGCTCCCTATGGGGTCACGAAACACTGTACTGAATGTGGCGGACGCATGTGGCCCCCCCACTGGGGCCTTGGGTGGAGCTCCCCATGAGGCCACGAATCGCTGTACTTGGTGTGGCGGGCGCATGTGGCCCCCCCCCCCGCCCCACTGGGCCCTTAGGTGGAGCCCCCTAAGGGGCCACGAAGCGCTGTACTGGGTGTGGCGGACGCATGTGGCCACACATACTGGGGCCTTGGGTGGAGCTCCCTATGAGGCCACGAAGCGCTGTACTGGGCGTGGCGGACGCATGTGGCCACCCATACTGGTGCCTTGGGTGGAGCTCCCTATGGGGCCACGAAGCGCTGTACTGGGTGTGGCGGGCGCATGTGGCCACCCCATTGGGGCCTTGGGTGGAGGTCCCTACGGGGCCACGAAACGCTGTACTGGGTGTGGCGGACGCATGTGGCCACCCACCCCCACTGGGGCCTTGGGTGGAGCTTCCTATGGGGCCACGAAACGCTGTACTGGGTGTGGCGGACGCATGTGGCCACCCATACTGGTGCCTTGGGTGGAGCTTCTAATGGGGCCACGAAGCGCTGTACTGGGTGTGGCGGACGCATGTGGCCACCCCCACTGGGGCCTTGGGTGGAGCTCCCTATGGGGCCACGAAGCGCTGTACTGGGTGTGGCGGACGCATGTGGCCACCCCCAGTGGGGGGCGGGGGGGGGCAGTGGAGGAGGAAACGCGGGGACCGTGTTTCTTCAAAACGAGGACCCGACACCACAGGATGGTTGGGAAAAACACTAGGTCCGATGTCTGGGCTTCGCCTTAGCATGGCGAAGCCAAGGCCCGGAGGATCAGAGTGTCCTGGGCCGGGGATCTTCTAACCTGGGTCAATCCAGACCCGGTGGAGGAGGAGGAGGAGGAGGAGGAGGAGGAGGAGGAGGAGGAAGAGGGGGAGGAGGACCCGGAGGAGGAGGAGGAGGAGGAGGAGGAGGAGGAGGAGGAGGAGGAGGAGGAGGGTCCATCAGGCCTTACAGAATCCTGCAAGACCCTCAAAGATCCTGCACCCAAGCCCGGGCCAACGCGAAGGATCCTGCAAGATCCTGCAGGATCCTGCGCCCGAGCCCGGGTCAGTGCGACCCTGGCGCTGCAGGATCCTGCCAGATCCGGCGCTCTGGCTGACCCCCGTTAGCATTGACCCCCACCTCTTGACCCCCGACCAACCTGGGTCAGCGCAAGCCTGGGTTGGCCTTAGGTCGGACGTGTCCCCCCACAGGGGGATTTTGGGCGATGACTCCGACGGAAGGACCCCACATGAGCATCTGTTTGGCTTGCCCTTAGCCCTTCCCTCCTCGCTCTGGCGGACACCCTCCTCTCGCCCTCTGCTCTGCACTCTCCTCCTCCTCCTCCTCCTCCTCCTCCTCCTTCTATTTCTCTCCTCCTCCTCCTCCTCCTTCTATTTCTCTTCCTCCTCCTCCTTTTCCTCCTCATCCTCCTCATCCTCCTCTCTGGAGCCCCGACTGGGAAGTTGTCGCCGCTTCCCGGGACCCCGAGGGCCTCCACGGGCCACAGGGGGCGAGCAGTGCACGGCATGGGATGCAGAGCCCGCCCCTGGGGAAAACAGCCCCGGGTTCGGAGAGAAACCCCTCCTCTTCACGGCGACCTCCCTTTCTGCTTTTCGCCCCCCCTCCTTGCACCGGTCCGCCTGGTCAGGCGTCGGCTGAAAATGGGAAGTGGAGGGATTGGCGGAGGAGGAGGAGGAGGAGGAGGAGGAGGAGGAGGAGGAGGAGGAGGAGTCTTGAACTGGCCGAGCTCCGTGCTCGCTCGAGGAGAGAGAAAGAGAGAGAGAGAGAGGGAGAGAACAAAAAAAAAGAGAAAGTGAGAGATGGGGACAGGCACACACTTGAAGAACACTGCTGCGCGATGTCGACCCCAGCGGGGCTTCGGCCTCTGGCGCGCAGAAGCTCGAGCTTCGGGCTGCCGCTGGCGCTCTGGCCAGCGGCGGCGCGTGCTCTGGGTGCGCCCACGGCGGGGCCGCTGCCGCGTCGGCGCGGCACGAGCCTACCATACCGTACCTGTGGCTCGAGCTCCCGCCCGGGCTTGCCGCCGCAGCTTCCGCGGCGGCGGGCGCCGCAAGGGCAGGCCACGGCGGGCACGACTGGGCAGCGTGGGACAGCCTGGTGGAAACGAGGCGTTGGGTTGCGTTTGGCGACGGCACAAGATGAGACCACGAGACGTCACCCACGTAGCGCCTGATCTCAAAATTTGGCTCTCGCTCTTGCGCGAACGGCTTAGCACTCTCTAGCAAGGACAATGACGTCCGTAGAAGTTTAGCCGCTGTTCGAGCCATCGAATGAACTGAAGCTTCAATTGCCTGTTGCGCTAACCTTGCCATTCGACCGATCCTGTATGGCAAGTATTACAAGACGTAAAAGGAGACAACATGATACGGTAGCACATTGATGATCGCATACATCAGGAGACATCGTGAGCACACACACGCACGCTGATACCACAGCCCCCTGAGACATCCTGGCTCTTAGACCACATGTATGATAGCGACCCCCTGTTCTGTGATGAGGTATCAAGAGACATCGCGACACCGCGAGGCGCCGCGCGCAACGCCACCACGGGGCTTGCCCGGAGACCAGCTCCATCACAACAGAGCAGACGAGAATGGCTTAGCTTTGAGGGTCATGCCACAGCCATTGCTGAAGCGAGCGTACGCGTCGTTCATTTCTAATCGCGTTCATTTGTAATTGTGCTCATTTCTTACTGTTCCTGGCTGACCCTCAACACTGCGGCAGGTAGTGAGCCTGCACCTGCAAAGGCCCCTCATAGGGCCACAGGTGGGGGACCTCGAACGGCCCCCAGGAACCCTCCCTCCACAGATGGCGCCGAAGACCGGCCACACGGCCCCAAGGGGCACCCCAAAGAGCCCTCCCACCCCAAGGGACCTCCACGCAGCTCCAGTACTTCCCCCGAGGCTCCCGAGAGGCCACAGGGGCCAATTTCCATGTTGGGTCTTCGTGAGATGATCTGCTACAACGGAAGCCTGGTCCGTTCCGTCTGCATTCAACGGGAGCGTTGTGCACAACGGCGTCTTCGGCGAACCTGAAGGTCATCTGTCTCTGCGCGTTCTGCAAAGCGCTGGGCTTCGCGTAGCGACGCGCCGACCGAGCGTCCGCGCCAGACGGGGCAAGAGAAGCCTAGATGAAATATTCAGAGCGTCTGAGAGATACCACTACTCACATCCTGGCCATCAAGCAGTCGGCGGGTGCGGCGACGACCCCAGACACGTCCATGATGGCCTCCTGACGGCCCCAGAGGCCCCCGAGAGGACCCCTGAAAAATGCCCAGGAGAGCCCCAAGAGGGCCAAGACGCCCCCAGGACAGCACTTTCGAAGGCTGCGGGGGCGGGGGGCAGCTTATTTGTGCGGTGCCACAGAGATCAATGCGGAACCTCGCCATCCTGGGGAGCTGTGAGCCGCGAAACTGACGCCACTTTGGAGGGTTGCTGAAGGGGCAGCTCAGTGCGGTACTACGCAGACCAGAGCGTGCGCCAAGTGCGCCAGGAGTTCGAGTGCGCAATGCGGGCTGCACTGCTCATCGGCGTGCCATTGGGAGAAAAGGCCAGCCTCCTTTCTCATTCCGCGTCCCTCGTTGTTGTCCTCTTCTTATCTCCCTCTGCGGCTGCCGCGCTGAATTCTGAGGTTCTCCTTCGTTCCTTCTCCTGCTCCTCGTTCCCGTCGTTCTTCCTCTTCGAGCCTTGGGCCTCACTACGCGTCCTTCTATCGCCGCCCTGTGAGCCGTGCAACGCGCACATCCCATGCAGCTTGCGCAACAAATGACGGCTCCTGCATTCTCATCACCCATACTAGCGAAAGCCAACTCATCTTGTCACTTGATGCGACCGGGTTGGGTACGTCGGAAGGTAATTTGTCACTGAGGGCTCCCTGGAACTCCACCCTCTCCTCGGGGCCGGCCTTTCATCTCGAACTATGTTTGAAAGGCCCCGGGGTCCAGCGGGGGCCCCCGGAGGCCGACAACGGCTCAAAACCTCTCGCCACATTCTTTGAACGACGAAAGCATGCCTAGGCTTCCTCCTCTGGGCCACGGCGCGGAGGCGGAGGCTGCAGCAACGCTCAACGATGTCAACGATGTGAAAATTTGTCCGAGACTCCAGGGTGGGCGCTCTCCCAAATCTGCGCTCCGGTGTGGATCGTCTGCGCGCCTCGTCTCCGTCGTCGTCATCGGCGGCGGCGTCGTCGTGGTCGCAGTGCCTGTTCCGTGAGCGGAGAGCATGTTTGCACCCGCGGCCTCGCGGCCGGGCCCCGGCGCCGCGACCCCGTGGCTACTCCAAATCCCTTAGTAATCGACCCTTCCGAAAAAACCGAACCCCCCTCCAAATGCGACCTAATATTCTGGACCCCCCTCTTCGACGGGGCGCCTTGATTAACTGGACCCCCTAAGCTCCGCCCTAGTAAACTGGACCCCCCCGGTTACAAAAAAGGCACCTCGGGGGACGATTAATAAGGGATTTGGGTTACGGCGAACCGTTGTTGCGGATGCCCGGCGCGGAAGGTATTCGTGCGACCGCACATCCGCGGGACCGCGCCCCAGAATCCAGGCCGCGAGGGCATGGACCTGGATAGGCTCGCCGCTCGTGGGTGCCCCTATGCTCGAGCCTTGTATCCTTAGGTCGGGCATGTCCCCCAACAGGGGGGTCTTCGACGACAAATACAACATACCCACAAAATATTCCCAAATTGTCAAAAACAATCAAGACATCGTCCCCTGTCTATTTGGTAACTAGTCTGGAATATTCCTCCTGTAGAGGGACAGGCCCGACTTCATTGCATCCCCATCGTGCAGGGACCACCGCCGGCGGCGCGGAGGCGGAGGCGGCGCGTCCTCCACGCCGCCCTCGTCCGCGCCGCCGGCGCCGGCGGAGCCGCCGCCCCGCGAGGGCTCCGCGCTCGCGGGCGCCTCGCCGGGGGAGGCGGGCGCGCCGCCGGGGGCGCGCGGGCGCCGCTCGCCCCGCGGCGGGCGCGCCGAGGAGCGCCGAGGGCGCGCGGCGGGCACGCCGCCCTCGAGGACCGAGTCTCGAGGGTCGGGGCTCGCGGGGTCGGGGACCAGCGGAAGGCTCACGCTGCCTCGCTCCAAGGGGGGCCGCCTGGAGCGAGCCTCCTCGAGCCCCGCCCCTGCCCCTCGCCTTCTGCGGGTCTGCTCCGGCTGGCTCCCGCGACGGCCAGACGATCTCGGAGGCGAGGGGGCCCGTGGAAGTGTTGCGGCCGCCCTGGAAGTGTTGGAAGGCCCTGGGCAAGAAAGGCCCCAGGGGGCCATGGGAGATCGGGGAGGCTCTCGCAAGTCTCGTGTCTTCTCGTCTGCTCCCTTCCCTTCCCTTCCCTTCCCGTCCCTTCCTCTTCCCCTTCCTCCTCCTCTTCCTCCTCCTCCCCCTTGTCTTCTTCTGTCCCAAGGCCAGGAGACAGCGTATCCTGAGGACGTCTTGGAGCACATGGCGGCGCTTCGGGAACGGGGGTTGTCATGTCTTGGCCCACCCGACTGAGGCACTCTCGAGCGGGCGTACGTTTTTTCGAGGATGGAGGTCTCGCTTTCCCCAATTCCCCACGACGCCCATGTGTGCTCCTGGGGTGCTCTCCGAGACGCCTTGGAGAAGGCGCATCGGCACCGACGGATCGGGGCTGGCCAACAACAGCCCCGAACTTCGGAGCTGTGAGTGGGTTGATGTCGAGCTGGGCACCTGTGCGCTCCCCGTTCGAGCGGTCCACGGGGCCTCCTCCGCCTCCTCCTCCTCCTAATTAGTCCTAGTCCTCCTCCTCCTCCTCCTCCTCCTCCTCCTCTTCCTCCTCCTCCTGCTTTCCCTGGTCGGCACGGGTCAGTTCCTGGGGCTGGCGGTTGCGAACAACTGGGCGCTGGAGACAGGCCCCACCGATGCCCAAGCAACTTCAGGCCGCTGGAGTGCCGTGCGCGAGGGCACGGAGCGGTGTTCGCCTCTTTGCACGACTGGCCAGAGCGTGTGCACTTCCGCGTTTTGCGTGCGACATTCTCCCTGTGCGGGGGAACAGATGTGCGCCAGTCGTTCGAGCGCGCTCCTGCTCATCGAGGTTGGGACTCGACCCTGGAAGGTAGCTCGAGACCCGCTGGCATGTCTGTTTTTCTGGACGACATTTGAGCTGACTTATTCGCCAGAGTCGGATTGGAGACATCCAGACGGCCCAGCGGGGCCTCATTAAGAGGCAAAGCTGATTAGAGTCGCTTCGTGCAGTCAATCGCTACCTTGCTCAGGACATGTATCTGCGCCATCTCTGCCTCCAGAGCCAGCTCGGATCTTCGGCTCGGTATGCTATGCTTTCAGAGCATCAGCTATTCCACTTCCCCTCCAGGAGGAGAAATGCGATCGAAGGTTTACAACCTGCTCACCAAGACCGAGGCCTACCTGTCGCAGCTGCATTCTGGGACCCGACGAGTGTGCGACCCTGGTAGCTTCAAAAGGTGGCATGCTTTCGAGCTACTGTTGGGAACTTTGGGGAAACGTGTCGCCACGGCGACCCCGACGACACGTTACGCCCTGCGAGCGGATAGCGTGTCTCTCCGCTTCGCGGATGGGGAAGCTCGGAGGAGCTGCTGCTCAGCGAGTTGCGGCGGCGGCCCTGGGAGCATGCCATGCCTTGCGAGCGGACAGCGTGTCGCTTAGCTCCGCGGGGCGGGAGGCTCAGGAAGGCTCGAGACGCTGGCGCTTGGGAGAAGGGTCGTGCGTAGCGTGTCGGGACGAGGCGAGGTGGGCAAGAACCGGCGGCGCGACACGATGAGCAACCGCTCTCCTGACCGCGGATCTGCTCCTCGGGGCCTCCACCCCGAGACCAGACAGAGGCTAGAGATAGGTCGGGCATGCCCCCTACAGGCCGATTTTGCATGACAAATTTAAGATAGTCAGAAAATACTCGAACATGGCCCCAACAAATAATTAAAACATCGTCCCCAGACTATTTGTTGACTGTTTGGGAACATTCCCCCTGTAGAGGGACAGGCCCGACGTGAGGCTGGAGCCCCTGGGCTGATCTTCTTCAGGACGGAGATCGGGGGAGGGGGTTGTCGCCGGCCCACGGTGTGCCGACCATGCAGAGAGGAGGAGGGAGGGAGGGAGGGACGGAGGGAGGGAGGAGGGAGGAGGGAGGGGCGAGGGTGGAGGAGGGAGGGAGGGAGGAAGGGGGAGGGATGGAGGGAGGGAGGGCGGAGGAGGGAGGAGGGAGGAGAGGAGGGAGGAGGAGTGAGGAGGGAGGAGGGAGGGAGGGAGGAGGAGGAGGAGGGAGGAGGAGGAGGAGGAGGAGGAGGAGGAGGAGGAGGAGGAGGAGGAGGAGGAGGAGGAGGAGGAGGAGGAGGAGGAGGAGAGAGTGAGGAGGGAGGGGAGGAGGAGGAGGAGGAGGAGGAGGAGGGAGGAGAGGAGGAGGAGGAGGAGGAGGAGGAGGAGGAGGAGGAGGAGGAGGAGGAGGAGGAGGAGGAAGAGGAGGAGGAGGAGGGAGGAGGAGCCGCAGCGTGTGGCAGCCAGGCCGCTGCCCAGCTTGGCCCGCCCTCCCCTCGCTCGGGTCAGCTCTTGCTCGGCGCGTCGCGGCGGCGGCCCTGGCGACACGCGACGCCTCGCAGGCGGGCAGCGTGTCGCTCCGCTCCGCAGGGCGGGAGGCTCGGAAGGTGGACAGCGGCGCCGAAGCGCGGTGGTCCAGAGCTGGCGGACCGACACGCGGTCCGAAAGTTCCCGACCGGTAATCTCCAGACCCCACCTGGGAGGCCCAGATGAATCAGTGTCTGCGCTCCCTCGCCCTGCCTCCATTCTTGACACCTGCGCCCTCGTTGCCGGCTGAGCTTCGTGCCCTAGCATTGCGAGCGAAGCTGGCAGCACCCTCCGCCGGAGGTGGGGAGAGGCTGCTGCACGTCCTTTGCCGCGGCGCTCGCGGACCCCGCCCGCGCCCCGGGCTGTTCCGCGCCTCTTCTTCCACCTCCTCCAACTTCACGAATCGCCTCCTCCACCTCTTCTGCCTTCACGACACGCCTGTGAGCCACGAGGACTGCCCCAATAGAGCCCTCGAAGCCCCACGAAGGCCTTACAGGGCTGCCACGGCCACAGGGACCCCAAAATAGGTTCGCGATGGCCATAGCTCATTACACGTTGCTGCCACCTCTCCTTCTCCTGCTCCTCCAACTCCTCCGCCTGCTTCTGCTCCTCCCTCTCCTCCCTCTCCTCCTCATCTTCCTGCGAAGCGCTGCGTATCGTGCTGCTCCCCAAGCAATGCTTGCACACAGGTTTCTAACTTCTTTGCCGAAGTGACTGGCTGTCGTGCCTGGGCTTTGCCCTATGGCCGCCCTTAGGGGCTTCGTGCGCGCCTCGTGCGCTAGTCGGCGTTTCTGGGTTTCGCCCAGTGGCCGCCCGTGGGCGGCATCGTGGGCGCCTCGTGCGCCAGCTGCTCGTCGTCGCCTCGTGTGCTGGGATTGCACCACGCAGCCTGCACCACACAGCTAGGAGCTTGCACCACACAGCTTGCACTATATAGCTTGCACCTCACATCGTGCTCTACAGTCCGAGCCCCGAAAACCCAAGCATGCTGTCATTTCTTGAGGGCGAACATTTGACCTCCGCCGACTTCCGCTGGCGGAGGCGGCCTCGTTTTACTTCCACAGCCTTCCGCCAGCGTCCCGCCTGGGAAGAGATGCCAGCCCCGTCGGTTCCTCGAAGGCGAGACCCTCCCTGGATCGCCTCACCTAGCTTGCACATCCCGAGTGCAACATCTCACTGCTTTGGGGCCAGAGGTGGCAAACATCTTGACGTCGTCCCCCGCAACAAATAAAACACGCCTCCGCAGGGGCCCCGCTGCAGGTCCAGCTGCTCCACATGGGGTCCTGCGGAGAAGGGTTGGGGGGCAGTGCGAGGTGGGCGCGATGAGAATGACGACCATGCAGAGGCAGGAGGGAGGAGACGGGGCAGGGCAAGAAGAGGGGGGCCGCTAGCGGGGGAGGGCAAGGAACAGGGGGAGGGGAGGAGGGAGGAAACTGGGGGGAGGGCAAGGAGCAGGAGGAAGAGGACGAGCAAGAGGCAGAGGACGACGAGTGACGATCCATCGCTCGTGCTGCCACGAGGAACGCGTAATGCGGAACGAACGGGGCTTGTCTGGCTACGGCGGGCCCAGGCCCGCAGACGGGTTCCACGACTGGAATCTCTGGAACGGCCAGACACCCGAGCGCCCCCTGAGCCCAAAACTGTCCTTATTTCAGCGTCTTGACTGAAAGGAGAGGGGGGGGAGGAGAAGGATGAGGAGGAGGACGAGGAGGAGGAGGAGGAGGAGGAAGAGGAAGAGGAGGTGGAGGAGGAGGACGAGGAGGAGGGGGAGGAAGGGCAAGATGGGGTTGGGGAAGGGAAGGGAGGGGATGGGTAAGAGAAATAGGAGACGAGGTGTGGGATGCAGTGGGGGGGATGGTGTGCGCAGAGAGACGGGGTGAGCAGGAACGAGGATGGGCAAGCTAGGTGCGCCCGCGCCACATCTGACTTCCTCGCCCTCCCTCAGCCCTTTCCCACTGCGCTGATGTGTGTTGTTTCTCTCTCGCTCTCTCTCTCTCTGCCAACTGGTCTCATAGCAGACCTGGAAGATCCAAAAGCAACCCAACGTGTTACGCGCGCTATGAGAAGTAGACCTGTGTACATTGGAGGAGGTGTGCACACTGGAGTACGTGGCAAGTGAGCCAGGGGATGACCAGGAGGAAGGGGAGAGGGATTCGGACAGAGGAAGACAGAAAGGAACTGCAGCAGTACGAGCACGAGGAGCGGGAGCATCGGGGGAAGGCGGGCGAGGGGATCGGGGGGGGGGGGGGGACGAGGGCGCACTGGGATCCAGGCGCATTGCCCTTGCTGCGGCGAGAGCGCCATCCTGAACGACGGGAGCAACGCCCCAGTGCAAACAAGGGCCAGCGCTGCAGAGAGGGGCACCATGTTTGAAGGATCGAGAAACAAACCAACAGACTCGGATTAATCCTTCGAACAAAAATAATACGCGGAGGGGGGGGGGACGCGCCAATCTCAGGTCGTCCCCCGAGGAGGGAGGAGAATAGCACCCTTACTGTGCTGTGTAAGTGTGAAAAAAGAGGATGCGTGGAAGATGGTGATGATGAGGAGGAGGAGGAAGTGCCACTAGGAGGCAGAGGAGAAAGAGCATGAGGGATGAGGGATGGTGCCAGACGCAGGGCGGCGGATATCGATCCATCTCTTGACTATATATGGGCCTTGCTGTATCCCCACCCCCATGGCAACACTGATCAGACGGAGACGAATGCCAAGCGGTCGCCCCATTGTGGTCATACCTCTCGATTCTCCATCTGGTGTTCCTTCATCGGGATCCGCGTGTGGCCGCTTCACGGCGAGCAGAGAGTGAGAGAGAGAGAGATGGGAAGGCTCATCATCATCCTCCTGCTACTCCTCCTTCTGCTCCTCCTCCTCCTCCTCCTCATCTTCCTCCTCCTTCCCCTCCTTCTCCTCGGGGGGGGGGTGCATCGACTTCTTTCGCGGAGGGTTTACACATCGAGTCCCTTTGTGGAGGTAATACCCGTAGATGTCCGTACCGTGGCGGAAGAACACCAACAAGCACAAGGACACATCCACTGAAACCAAAACACGCGCAGGATTTCAAAACACCAACAACCAACACTGAACAACAAACGCACACGTTCGAAACAAAACGTCATCTACTAACTCCACCGCTCCACTGCTCCACCGTCCCCTCTCCCCTCGTTCGACTCCCCTTACCCCCTGTCCCTCACCGTTCAATCCTCCTCCTCCTCCTCTCCCTCCTCCTCCCCCTCCTCCTCACGCCTCACTCCTCCTCCTCGGGTGGGGGAGGATAGACTAGGGAGGAGGGCGCAGGATGGAGGAGGGACGGCGCGGAGGAGGGGACGGCGGGGAGGGGGAGGATGAGGAGAAATAGTATGAGGAGGAGGGGGAGGAGTGAGGTGTGAGGAGCGAGGAGGAGGGCGCATGGCGGGGAGGGGGGGAGGACGAGTCAAGCGTTAAAAGAGACAAACACTTCTCGTTCCTCCTCCTCCTCCTCCTCCTCCTCCTCCTCCTCCTCCTCTTTCTCCGCCCCCACCTGGTCCTCCCGCCTCCCCGCCCTCTCCCTTTTCCTTCCTCCACCTCGCCTTCCCTCCTCCCTCATCCCCCCCTCCCCCCACAACGAGTAAGAGGAAGAGGAGGATGAGTGGTACGTGTGGAGGGGCAGGATGAGGAAGAGAATGAGGAAGATGAGGGGAAGGGAGGGGGGCGGAAGGGAAGGGGAATGGAACGAGGAGAGAGGGGGCGGTGGAGCAGTGGAACGGTGGGGCGACTAAGGATGGACATGTGCGTTATGTTTGATGGTTACTGTTTCATTGTCTGTGTTTCAGTCCTGGATGTTTGGATTATGTGTTTGTTGTTGTTTGTTCCTTGTTGCGATTGGTCTCCACATAAAAGGCATGTGCAATCTCCCCGGCACAACGGGGATCGATTTATTATTCACTCACATAAGGAACGCATTCGTATATTCTTCACAGGAGTGTAGAGATGAGGCTGCGACTTTGAAGGATGAGGACGGCGAGGAGCAGCGGGGGGGGGATGAGGAGGCTGGGGGGGGTGACTCCTCAGCATCCTCCTCCTGCTCGTCGGACTTCTCTGGCACTCCTCTAGAATCTAGAATGAGGCAGCGGCGGGTGAGGAGAAGGAGGGGACGAGGGAGGAGGAGGAGACGAGGGAGGAGGAGGAGGAGGAGGAGGAGGAGGAGGAGGAGAGGAAGGAAGAGGAGGGTGAGACCAAGGAACATGACGAGAAGGACGAGAAGGAAGAATGGGGACCCTTGACCTTCGTCTACCTCTGCTAGTTGTTCATGGGGCCGGGGGCGAGGCACGGACATGGGTTCTTGCTCGTGCAATAGGAAACTTGGCCTGCGTCTCGGTCTGTCGGCTATGTTTTCGCCGCCCCGTAGCCGCTCGTCGTCCGCCCGTCGCCTGGGCCCGCGCCCCGTCGCCACCCCGTCGCTGCCCCGTCGCCGCCCGTCATCTGGGCCTGCGGGTCTGTCTGGCTGCTGTGTTCTGACCGTCGCCGCCCCGACGCCGCCTCGTCGCCGCCCGTCGTCTGGGCACGCGCGTCGGTCTGGCGGCTATGTTCTCACCGTCGCCGCCCCGCCGCCTCCTCGCATATATTGCACCGCCTATATTGCAGGACATGGGTTGCACCATGTAGGTTGCATCGCATAGATTGCACCACATTGATTGCACAGCACCGATTGCAAGACATACATTGCACACCTTAGGCCGCGCTACATGATTTGCACCACCTAGATTGTACCAACAACATGTCACCACCTGCATTGCACCACGTGGGTTTCCCCACATATATCGCATCGCACAATTTCAACCACATGCGCTGAACAACAATATCGCACACTATATATTGCACAACAGATGTTAAAACCCCTATGTTGCGCCATTTTGACTGTAGCACATGGATTGCACCGCATGTATGCCACAGAATATATGTACCACGTAGATGGCACAACATAAATGGCAAAATACACATTGCATCGCATCGCATACATTGCGCACCATAGACCGCACCATATATACTGCACCACATAGGGTGCGCTGCCACTATTGCTAGGCATGCACGGTGTGGGCTCAACGCTAGCTAAGTAACATAGGTTCGCTGATGCAGAGGGGCACGCTTTGGCCATGCTTAGGACGAACGAAGCAGTCCACGCTAGAGCTAACACCTGGCAGCTTCTCTGCGAACGTGCAGAGGTCATGGTTCACACCGTCCTGACGAACGACCAATGAGTAGGAGGAGGAGGAGGAGAAGGAGGAGGAGGAGGAGACGGAGGAGGAGGAGGAGGAGGAGGAGGAGAAGAAAGGGGCAGGAAGAGGAGGATGATGATGATGATGATGATGATGATGAGGAGGAGGAGGAGGAGGAGGAGGAAGGAGGAGGAGAAGGGGTGCCAAGAGGAAGGTGATGATGATGATGATGATGATGATGAGGAGGAGGAGGAGGAGGAGGAGGAGGAGGAGGAGAAGGGGGCGGGAGGAGGAAGAGGAGGAGATAGGTGAAGGTGCCAGGAGGGCGCAACGGAGGATGATGAGGGGATGAAGATGAGGTGTGCCAGGAGGAGGGGGAGGAGGCTGGCAACGGCGCCGGGAGGAGGCGGAGACCAAGGAGGCGGGAGAGGCGGCTGGAGGAGGAGGGGTACCGCGGCGGCGGCAACCCCGAAGCCGCTCCGAAGGGGGAGACGGTCCGCGGCGGGCTCCCCGCCGGGCGCGGGCACTGCCACCTGCAGGCCCCGTCGCGACGCGGGGCTGCCGGCCTCCGACGCCTCCGAGCAGGGGGGGGCAACGACTTGGAGAGGGAGAAGGAGGAGGAGGAGGAGGAGGAGGAGGAGGAGGAGGAGGAGGAGGAGGAGGAGACGGAAGGAGGAGGGCATGGGAGGGAGGAGGACGGAGGAGGGAGGCGGGGGGAGGGAGGAGGGAGGAGGGGGGAGGGAGGAGGGAGGAGGGACGAGGGGGGGAAGGAGGAGGGCGGAGGGATTTTGCCGCTGCGCTTCTCTGGCGAGGCCCTTGAACCTACGGTCCTCCGGGACGCTGCCGTGCGGCATCACGACGAACACGACCAGGCAGACCGCGAAATGATCCCTCTCTTGTGCTCGCAAGCCCGAGGAACCGCTGCTCGACCCAGGGCGGCCGGCACCATAGGGCAGATGAGAATGCCGCACTCCCTGCACCACAAAGCCCTCAACAATCACCACCGCACAGCAATCGCAGATGTGAAGCATCGACTCCGTGACGGGCGCCGCGTCGACGTGCTGGATCACGTTGGCCGAAGTGCACGGACTCCTCCTCCCACCAGCCACCGTGGGGACGCCAAGCGACGCGACAACAGTGAAGTGCACGTTGCTATAGCGCAGGTCGTCGCTGAGATTCTCCAGGGCGGTCCGACGCAGAACAGCGAATTGACATTGCGTCACCAACAACGGGCCCTACAGCTCCCTCCTCCGCGCGGCGCCCCGCCTCCTCCAGGACAGGGGGCGCGGACGGGACGGGAGGGCCAGGGTCCCAGAGTGGCTCCAAGAGGCCCTGCAGCAGACTGGAGGGCGCCACCTCTGCAGGGCGACTTCACCAGGAACGCCATCATTAGGAGAGGGAGGAGGAGGAGGAGGAGGAGGAGGAGGAGGAGGAGGAGGAGGAGAAAGGAGGAGGAGGAGGAGGAGGAGGAGGAGGAGGGGAAAGGAGGAGGGGAGGAGAAAGGAGGAGGAAGGAGGAGGAGGAGGAGGAGAGGAGGAGGAGGAGGAGGAGGAGGAGGAGGGAGGAGGAGGAGGAGGAGGAGAGGAGAAGCAGGAGCAGGAGGGAGAAGAGGAGGAGGAGGAGGGAGGAGGAGGAGGAGGAGGAGGTGGAGGGAGAAACTCGACGAGGGAGGCGAGGCGTGGAGCTCCAGGCCGCGGCGAGGGGCCTGGAGACGCTGCTGGGGATCGGCACGATGGGGACTGGCAGGCCGCTGCACGCCGCCGCCGCGCCCGCCGCTGAAAGGCGCGAGCAGGAGCGCCAGCCCAAACACGCGGGGACTCATGCGCCACAGGCGGCGGCGAGGGCCCTCCGAAGCCATGTGCCCGAGCCCATGGCCCTGCTCCCCCAAGTTCCTCACGCCCGACAGGTTGCCCTGCGACGCCGGGGCCTCGGGGTACGCCGAAGGACCAGGTCCAGGAGCAGGGGGCCTACGGACAGGCCTGAGCCAAAATGGCTACAGAAGGAGGAGGAGGAGGAGGAGGAGGAGGAGGAGGAGGAGGAGGAGGAGGAGGAGGAGGAGGAGGAGGAGGAGGAGGAGAGAGGAGGAGGAGGAGGAGGAGGAGGAGGAGGGAGGAGGAGGAGGAGGAGGAGGAGGAGGAGGAGGAGGAGGAGAAGGAGGCCGAGGAGGAGGATGAGGAGGAGGAGGAGGAGCAGGGGTCACTGACCAATGGTCCAGCTCGTTTCGCCTGAGACGTCCTCGCAACTCTGGTTTCTGAGAAGATGTGCGAGAGGTCCTGGTCCGTTCCGCTTGAGACATCCTCGGAACTCTGGGCCACGAGATGCCTCGCCAGAGGTGGTGTGGCCCGCTTCGCCTGAGACCTCCTCGAAACCATGGGCTCCGAGAGGAAGGAGAAAAGAGCGAAGAGAAGTCAGACCCAAACAAACCGTGATGTCGAATTGTGTTCCGGCAGGGGTCTGGGCGCCCTTGGCCCGACGGAGGCGGAGGAGGAGGAGGAGGAGGAGGAGGAGGAGAAAGGAGGAGGAGGAGAGGAGGAGGCGGAGGAGGAGCAGGAGGAGGAGGAGGAGGAGGAGGAGGAGGAGGAGGAGGAGGAGGGAGGAGGAGGAGGAGGAGGAGGAGGAGGAGGAGGAGGAGGAGGGAGAAACTCGACGAGCGAGGAGGAATATCAGGAGGAGGATGAGGAGGATTCGTAAGAGGGGGGCGAGGAGGAGTGAGAGGAGGAGGATGGGGAGGAAGGGGAGGATGAAGAGAAGGAAGAGGAGGAGGAAGAAGAGGACAGGGAGAAGGAGGAAGAGGAGGAGGCGGGGAAATATGAGGAGGAGGATGAGGAGGAGGAGGAGGAGGAGGATGGGGAGGATGACCAGGAGGAGGATGAGGAGAAGCAGGATGGGGAGGATGGGGAGTCAGGATGAAGACGATGTCGAGGAGGAGAAGGAGGAGAAGGATGATGAGGAAGAAGAGAGGAGGGGGATGAGGAGGAGAAGGTGCAGAGTAAGGGGGAGGGCGAGGGCGAGAAGGAGAATGAGGTGGATGCGGAAGAGGAGAAGAAGGAGGAGGAGGAGGAGGACGAACAGCTCGACAACGACGCCGACGTCGCAGGCGGATCAGGAGCAGGATAACGCGCGAACAATATTGGGAGTCACCTTGGCTCACAAGAGCACCGTTTGAGGATACTGGTCCTCCTCTTCCTCCTCTCCCTCCTCCTCCTCCTCCCTCCTCCTTCCTCCCCCTTCCTCCTTCCTCCATCCTCCTTCCTCCGTCCTCTTTCCTCCCTCCTCCTCCCTCCCCCTCGCTCCTGCCTCCTCCCTCCTCCATCTCTCCCTCTCTACCCTCTCCTCCTCTTCCTCCGCATCCTCCTCTTCTTCCTCCTCCTCTTCTTCCTCCTCCTCGGTCGTTCCTCCTCCCTCCTGCAGGCGCAGGCGCCTGGAACGGCCGCGCCCCGCCCGCTCCCGCCCCCCACCCCAGGGGGCCTGCGCGGATGTGGCCCTGGAGGCCCCGCGGCTGGGGATGAGCCCGCGCTCCTCCCGCCGCGGCGAGGGCCGCGGCGGCGGCGACCACGGCGACGGCGACGGCGGCGGCGGCGGGCTCTGCGGCCACGACGACGATGGCGACAACCACGGCGGCGGCGACGGCAGCGGCGGCCGCAGCAGCAGCGGCGACGGGGACGGCGGCGGCGGCGGCGACAACTGCGGCGCCGGCGACGAGGGACGCAGGCGGCGGCGGCGATATGAGGAGAACAACAACGACGACGGCGACGACGGCGACGGCGGCGAGGCGGTGCCCGCACTCCTTGAGCCGCCGCAACTTCTCGATCTTGTCGCGCTCCACGTCCTTTCAAGGGATCTGCCTCCTCCTCCTGCTCCTCCTCCTCTGCCTCCTTCTTCTTCCGACATCCTCTCCCTTCTCCGTCCTCGTTACCGTTGTCGCCATCGTCATCGTCGTCGTCGACTTCTTCCTCCTCCTCCTCCTCCTCTTCTTCCTCTTACCCCGTCGTCGTCCACAACGTCCTCGTCGTCGTCGCCGTCCTGATCCTCCTTGTCCTCGTCCTCATCAATCGTCTCATCCGTCCTCTTCTTTCATTGTTCCTTCTTCCTCGTTCCTCCTTCCCCCTCGTCCTCGTCCTCCTCCTCCTACTCCTCCTCCTCCTCTTCCCCCCCGTCCTCCTCCTATCCCTTCTCATATGTTTTCCTTCTCCTGCTAATCATGATGCTTATCCTTCTCTTCGCTCTCCTCCTCCTCCTTCTCCTCGTACCTCCCCCCTGCTCCCTCCGCTGCTTCCTCTTCCGTCGTCCTCATCCTCGTTCTCTGTCTCCTCCTCCACATCCTCCTTCCGTGTTCCGTCTTCCTTCTTCCTCCTTCCTCCCACGACTTGTCCTCCTTCTCCTCCGTCTCCTCCTCATCCTTCTCCTCCTCTTCCTCCTCCTTTCGGCCATCCCTGTTCCATTCTGGGCTGCGGCCTGTTCTTCGAGGCCACTGTCCTGCGGGGCCACGTTGGCGCACCAGGTGGCGATGGCATCTGGCCCCCATGCGGGGTGCAGTTCCTAGACCTCATCCATTATCCTCGTCATCTTCTTCCTCCTCCTCCTCCTCAACCTACTCTCCCTCACCATTCTGCCCCGTCCACCGCCGCCTTCTTCTTCTCCTCCTCTTCCTCCTCCTCCTCCTCCTCCTCCTCCTTCTCCTCCTCCTCCTACTCATCGGTTTCCGCCTCCTGTTCAGCATCATTCCTCTTCCCCTTGTCATCGTTCTCGCCCCTCTCGTCGCCACTGCCGGACGCAGCTTGAAAAGCTGGCCGAGACGGACCCCGGGAGGTGCCAGTGTTGGGCGGGCTTTCGTCGGAGAAGCCCAGACCGCCTGCATCAAGGATAACTCGTCTTTCGACCGGCTTTCAACCACGCGCGGCCTCCCAGACGACTGGGCATTCGTCCCGTCAAGGAGCTCTCAGCGAGGGAAGAAGGTGCGTGATAAATATGCCCAGCGCTCTCGGGAATGATGCGACTGGGGCGGAGTGGAAGATGGGGGAGGGGGGGAGGAGGGGAGGAGGTAGCCGACTAGGGCGCCGCCCCTGCCTAAGGAGGAGCAGGAAGAAGAGGAAGAAGAGGAGGAGGAGGAGGAGGAAGGAGAGGAGGAGGAGTAGGAGAGGAGCAGGAGGCGGCGGTTGAAGAGGGAGAGGTGGAGGAAAGGAAGCGGGGGGAGAGGAGGAAGAGGAGAAGGAGGAGAAGGGGGAGGAGGAGGAGGAGGAGGAGGAGCAGGAGGAGGAGGAGGAGGAGGAGGAGGGTGACGGGGAGGGAGAGAGGAGACGGTGGATGAGAAAATGGAGAAAACAGAGGGATCCGAAACAGAAACTGCTTTGGGGGGCCTGGGGAACTCCTAGCACCGCCGTCTCCGTCCTGCTCTGTCTCGCCCTCTTCTGGCATCCACACTCTTCCGACCGACCGACTGGGGAAACAAGATCAATCAGCATCGAGAAGGGAAACCGGATCGGATCGGAATGTGCGTCGGATCGGGTCGCATCGGCATAGGGTCGGAATCGAATCGGATTGGCCGCGTCAGGATGCACAGCAGATGCGAACATCAGGCCGCACCTGATCGTCCGAGCATCCGAATCGAACCGGATCGGCCCTGCCAAAATCGGCATCGACTGGACGCCGAGGGGCGGGGAGACACGCTCCGGCACTCTTGCTGAGCGTGTCGCGGCGACGGCCCCTGCGACGGGATGCCTTGCGAGCCGGCAGCGTGCCGCTCCGCCCTCGTGGGGCGGCGGGCCGGGAAAGGCTCGCAGCGCTGATGCGCAGGTGCCGGGACGGGAGGAGCGCGCCGCGCCAGAGCGTGGCGGGCCGTGCCCCGTGGCGCGGCACGCGGAGCCAACGTGCGTGACCGTCCGCAGGTGCCGGGGACGACCAGGGGGCTCTGAGCGGGGGGGCTTCGGGGTGGCGCCACAGGCTGCGCGAGCACCCAGAGCTCCACGGCCCGAGCCTGGCCGTCCCGCGGACGTAAAAGACAACCCAGATCTCAGAGCTCGGAGCCTGCTCCTCCCAGATCTCCTCCTCCTCCTCCTCCTCCTCCTCCTCCTCCTCCTCCTCCCGACCGCAGCGGCAAGGGAGCGCCGGCCCACCGGGTGGGCTCCTCGCGCTGCCGCTGCAGCCGCTCGCAAGCCGCGCCGAAGTCGACCTTCGCCACCTCGGGGTGCGCGCGCGGCGGCGGGCGAGGGTTACACTCAGAACTGATGTTAAGAGGTCTTCCAGTAAGAAATTGAGATCCAGCTTCGCTGAATTTCTTAGCCCTCTTGCGGGAGCCAGCTTTGAAGCGTGCAGTTTCTTAGCGCAGCGCGGCGCCAGTGTTGGTGGTTTTGATAAAGATTGCGCCGGTGATAATGCCGATTGCGGGGCCGGGGGCTCTGCAGGGTTAGGGCGGGCATGTCCCCCTACAGGCGGATTTTGGACGAACAAAAAACATCGCCCCCAAAAAAATATGCCCCACACTATTTTTGGACTAGTTCTGAATATTCCTCCTGTAGAGGGACATGCCTGGCTTAAGGCGAGGGCGGGCGGGGGCGCGCGCCACGCGCGCATCGCGCGCTGCGGGGCGCGCGGGCGCAGAGCGGGCGCGACAGGCCCAAGACCCGAATCGGAGGGTAGCGTCGGGCACGCGATCGCATGGATTGAGCATCGGTATGCACACAAACTCTCGGAGGCGACGTACAACGAGCTGGTTGACCGTGGTGAGCTGGCCACGATGCCCTCCTCGAAGACCGCTACGATGCGGATGCGGCCCCGAGCCGCGTCGAAGAAGATGCTACCTGCGAGGGCCTGTAATGACCCTTCTTCCCAGAGGGAGCCTTTTCTGGGTGCCGATCCAAAGACGTCCGCGCGGACCTCCGAAAGCTCGACACCATACGCAGATGCGCGCTGGCATAGACTATCGAAGTCAGCGTGGCTCGCAGAGGCGAGAGCGGGTAGCACGAGGGTCTGGCCCCCCAGAGCTTGTGGGAACCAACCGACGCACGTAGCTGCCGCTTCTCCTCAGACCTCCCCCAGGGTGCGTGATCGGGAGATGAAAAATCGCTATAAACATAACCTTTTGGCGCTCCGCGCGGATTTCTCGGATCCGAGCTGGCCCCCCCTGGCGGCGCCTCCGGCGCCGCCCCTGGCGCGCTCCGCGCGCCAGGGAGGGGGGCCCAGCGCGGATCCAAGAAACCCGTGCGGAGCGCCAAAAGTTTATGTTTATGGCGTTTTATATTCTTCGAGTTGTGACCAGCACTTCGATGCGGACCCAGCCGAGGCGACGATGGCCTCCCAAGAGGCCCCAAACGGGCAGAAGCGGGGCAAGGGCAGCAGCATCGGTACCTTCTCGTCCTCTGAAAACTGGCGCGTTCCCCCGAAGCGCCGACCGCAATACTTCAATTCGCCTTCCCTCGGCCAAAGCTTCGGCCAGCGCCGACATGCCCGACGTAAGGCCAGCGCCGGTATGCTTCCTCTGCGAGGCGGGCGCGCGAGGCGCGAGGCGCAGGCGCGCGGCCTCGGTGCGCAGCCCGCCTCTGAGCCGCCCCGGGCGAGGTGTGCCGCGGGCCCCGAGGGGCCCCGAGGCAGGCTGGCTGCACGGCGTGCGCTGCGGCCGGAGGCACCGCGTCCGAATTCGCAGCGCTGGCGTCAGGTCGGGCACGTCCCCCTACAGGGGGATTTTGGAGGAAGGATAGGGAATGGCCCAAAATGCTCCCAAAGGGTCAAAGATAGTCGAAAAATCGTCTCCGGGCTACTTTTTTACCATTCTTGAATATTCCTCCTGTAGAGGGACAGGCCCGACTTGACGCTGGCGGCGCGGCGCATCGCGCAGCTCCCCAAAAATGCCCGACTGAGTCGGGCGCCACCTCCAGGCGCTTGCGTCTGCGCTGGTCGCCCGGGTTGGCTCGTCAAAAACAGCGCGCCCAACTTGGAGCCACCCTGGGCGATGCCGAGAGGCCACCTCGAGAGGACCCTGGCGAGGCAACAAGGGCGAGGCCCATAGGTTCCAAGACATCCGACGCCACGATTTGCTCACGGCTTGGCTCTGGACCCTTCCCAGGGACTGGCGTCTCGTCCCGAGGCGCGCTTTGACGGACCTAGGGCTCAACGAAGGCCTCCGCGGGGGCCGAACACGGCCAACGACGGGAAGGGAAGGGCGCGTCGTGATTTGTGAAAGGCGATCTGCGTAAACATAAACTGTCAGAGCTCCGCGCGGATGTTTAGGATCCGCGCTGGAACCCCGCGCCAGGGGCGGCGCCGGAGGCGCCGCCAGTGGAAGCACCAATCTAAGAAATTCGAGCAGATCTCCGAAGGTTTATGTTCGAGCAAGTTTGTTCTTCGTCGATGGCCGAAAACGGTCAAACACCGCCTGGGAGGACGCGTCGAGATCTGCCACGACGCGAAGGTGTGTTGCGTTTTCTAAAGGGACGCCGGCGAAATGGACTTCTGAGATCGGGGCGTTGCATTTGAGACTTCGAAGGGCGAGTGAAAGCGTCATGCGACGACCTTGCGGGCGAAGCCGAGCGGACTCGAGAAATCGGCATCGGCCGTGTCAAGAGCCCCTTTCTCTGGGGTCCCGTTTGGAACCACGTGGTGGATGTCTGTGTTGTCAGAACTTTCGGCGCGGCGAGCCGCGGCCCCCGCGCAAGGGCGCGCGAGGCCGCGCGCGCGGCGACGCGCGTGGCGCGGAGCCGCCTCGAGGCGAGCCTGGGCGTCGGCCTCCCGCTTCGCCAGCAGCCCGTCCAACCGCGCGATCTGACGGAGGCCCCGCTCCAGCGCGGAGTCCGTGCCGCCCTTTTGCTTCTCCTCCTGTTTGGGTCGGGCGAAAGGAGGTCGGTGACTCCCCCTCCTCCTCCTCCTCCTCCTCCTCCTCCTCCTCCTCCTCCTCCTCCTCCTCCTCATGATCATGAATACCGTCACCATCACCATCACCATCACCATCACCATCACCATCACCATCACCATCATCATCATCAGCAGCAACAGCATCATCTCCATGACCATCATCACCACCATTACCGCCATCATCATCACCATCATCATCAGCAGCATCATAATCATAATCATCATCATCATCATCATCATCATCGTCATCATCATCGGCATCATCATCGGCATCATCATCATAATCATCATCATCATCCTCATCATCCTCATCATCATCCTCATCATCATCATCATCATCATCATCATCATCATCATCATCATCATCGCCATCACCATCACCATCATCATAATCAGCATCATCATCATCAGCAACATCATACTCATCATCATCATCGTCATCATCATCACCACCATCATCACCATCATCATCATACTCATCATCATCATCATCATCATCATCATCAGCATCATCATCATTATCATCATCATCATCATTATCATCATCACCATCATCGTCATCATCATCATCATCCATCATACTCCCTCTCCTCCGAAGCCTCCTCCTCCGTCTTTTCCTCCTCCCTCTCTCAGGTCGGATGAAGGGCATGGGGGGCAGCAAACGCAGAGTAGTCCACAAATCCGCTCGCGTGGCCGGTTCCCTCGTCCCCTCCGGGCGCCAGTTTGGCGCCGCCGTGCTGTCGAGGAGCGCGCCCGGTGGCGGGGAAGAAACCAGCCCCTTCTGCTCGAGCCCCTCCTCCTCCTCCTCCGCCTCCTCCTTCTCCTCCTCCTCCTCCTCCTCCTCATTCTACTCCGACTCCTACTCCTACGAACTCCCACTCCTCCGCCTGCTGCTGCTGCTCCTCCTCCTCCTCCTCCCTTTCGTCCGGCCCGATCCTGAGAGCGCCCGAGCGGCTGGTGTCAACATGCCAATCGTCAGAGCCCCTCTTTGCCGTCCAGACCTTCCTCTTCCTCCTCCGAGTCCTGCTGCGTATCTTTTCTCTCTTTCTCTCTCTTCTGTTTCCGTCGCCGTTTGCTTCTTTCACTTTCTCGACCGTACCCATGCCCTCCTCTCCCTGCTCCTCTATGAGTGCCACGTGTGCGTTGCATGTTTTGCTGTTCCTTGGTCAAGTCCTGTGGGACGTCAATGTACGCCCCCTGGATGTTTTACCGCATATATGTTTTTTTTGTCGCTGCACATGTCTCAGCCCCCTCGGTAGGACGTGTGCGCTTCTCACGCTCTCACAATGCCGCATGCGCACAAGGTGGAACCCACAGCACAACATCCAACTTGACCAGCGAAGCGAAACAGCAAGCACGGGCGAATCTTGACACCCAGGGTGCGCCAATGTTGACCTCTCTTGGTGGGTCAGCTCTTATCCAACAGCAGCCAGCACCGAATCAGGACATCGCGTCGAAACTGGATGAGTGCGTCGGATCGGGCCTCATCTGGTAAAACCGAAGAGGTACCGATATCGCTAGTTACTCCCCAGCCCTCTTCCAGGTTGCGCTCTGACGAGAACTTCGATGCGAAGCCAGCGTGGGCGACGAGGGACTCCCAGGAGGCACCACAAGGGAGAAACAACGAGGGAAGGGCAACGTTGGCTGGTACATTTTCCTCCTCTGATCATAGGCACGGAGTCGGAATCGAATCGGATCATTTGCTTCAGTTGGGCGCCCGAATTATCCGGGGTAACCTGGGCCCGTGGAAACTCGGGTTCTGATTCCCGAAGGAGGAGAGAACAAAAAAAAAACAAAAAAACAAAAAAAAAAAAAAACGACCCCGAGTGAGCCCTGACCCGATTTACCCCTGATGATTCGGGGCTCTGGACGTCCGAATTATCCCAGTAACTTGGGCCCAGGGAAAAGCGAATTCGTTTTATTTGTTTAAATAAAAAATATTATACAAAAATCAAACCAAAAAATGAAGAAACAAAACAACAAAAACAACAACAAAAACAAAAACAAAAAAAACACAAAAAACAAAAAAACGACCCCGATTGAGCCCAGACCCGACTCACCCGTGATAATTGGGGGCTCTGGACGCCCAAATCATCCAGGGTAAGTCGGGCCCGGGGTAACACGGGTTCAGAATCCCCAAGAACGACCCCGAGTGAGCCCTGACCCGACTCACCCCTAATCATTCGGGGCTCTGGACGCCCGAATTATCGGGGGCACCTCGGGCCCGGGGTAACTCGGGCTCGGAATCCCGAAAAACGAACCAGAGTTAGCCCTGACCTGACTTACCCCTGATTGTTCGGGGCTCTGCTGGGCGTCCGAATCATCCGGGGTAGCTCGGGCCCAGGGTAACTCGCGGGTTCAGAATCCCGAAAAACTACCCCGAGTGAGCCCTGACCCGACTCACCCCTGATGATGGTTCGGGGCTCCGGACGCTCGAATTATCCTGGGTAGCCCGGGCCCAGGGCAACTCGGGTGCGGAATTCCGAAAAACGAACTCGAGTCAGCTCTGACCCGACTTCCCCCTGATCATTCGGGGCTTTGGACGCCCGAATTATCCGGGGTATCTCGGGCCCGGGTAACACGGGTTCAGAATCCCGAAAAACGACCCCGAGTGAGCCTTGACCCGACTTGCCCCTGATGGTTCGGGGCTCTGAAATTCCACCCCGGGAAATCGAGAGGTCGCATCGGTAGAGGTGCTAGCTGTCAGCTCGTGGAAGGAAAGGAGGGGAACGAGGAGCAGCAGGAGGGGCAGAGGGAGGGAGAGAGGGGCAGCAGCAACGGCCACGACGACAACGGAGAAGAGGGGAAGGTGAAAGAGGGCTCTCTCCCCCTCGCGGGGGGAGGGGGGGAGCTGCAATCAAACAACCAGCCGTTCAGCGTGTCGTTGCGTCCTGACGCGCGGAAGCTGAAACAGCGCGCACGCGGCAGGCTGATCGGGCGCAGTGGCAAGCGCCCAATCCAGCGGACGGCCCTTTTCAGCCAGGCCGACCCCGGGTAAGGGTATGTTCAGGACCGGTCTCCCCCTCGCGAGGGGGAAAGGGGGGGGGAACTGACCTCTTCTTTTTGCTTCGGGGCTCTGCTTCCGGGTGCACAGCAACGCCATGCGAACATCCCTCCGCATCGGCTCGCTGGAGCACCGGACTCGACTCGGAGAGCAGGCGGGGCGCAGTCGCCCGAGGGCGGGGGGGGCGGGAGCGACCGGGCGAGCCCCAGGGGGGCACGGGGGGGTCGATGATGCGTCGGGTCGGGTCGGGGAGGAGGAGGAGGAGGAGGAGGAGGAGGAGAAGGAGGAGGAGGAGAAGGGACTCGGATACCACAGCGCCTCTTGGATGGACTGCAAAATCCTGGCGCTCGGCCCCGGTCAATCCAGACCCGGGTCAGTCGGGCCTTGCAGAATGATGCAAAATCCTGCAAGATCCTGTACCCGAGCCCGGGTCAGTGCTAAGGATGCTGCCAGATCCTGCAGGAACATGCGCCCAAACCTGGGTCACTGCGACCATGTACCATGGCCCTGCAGGATCCTGCAAGATCGGGCGCTCTGGCTGACCCCCGTTTGCATTGACCCCCGTCTCAAGGCTCCCGATCGGGCGCCCGTCGACTTGAGCCGGACTTGAGTCGAACTGGAGCTGGGCAAGAAGAACAATCCCCACCCACACCGCCAAAGCCTTGGCCCCGCTGGTCAGCCAACCGCCCCTACAGGTGGGGATGGGTTCTCCTTCGGGTTTCGAGACACCCATCCCCACCTCGAGGAGGTACGCAGTGAGAGCCAACTTACCCTGCCCTGGTGGGGGTGGGTATGGTTCCCCAGAGATCTGATGCCGTGTTTTTTCAATACGGGGTCCCTGGAGGTCCCGACCCCTTCCCAGGGACCGGTTTTTCATCCTGAGCCGTTTTTTGTCCGTCCTGATTTTTCTCCATGCGCTGGATCTCTGGCTCCGAGGGCCGTGAGAGCAGATCCGCCGCGAGGTGGGCCCTGGGAAGGTCCCCCCGGAGCGAGCATCCGAAGGGGAGGCGGGCGTGCGCCGAGGTTCGCCCGGGGGGGCGCAGCAGCTCAGAGACGGGCCGCGGCGCTCCCGACGGGAAGGCCGGCGCCCTTCTGGGCGCCCACCAGTGGATTAAGCCGGGCCTGTCCCTCTACAAGGGGGATTTTCGAAAACAGTCAACAACATAGTCAGGGGACGATTTTCCTAGGATTTTTGGACTAGTTCGGGATACTCTTGGACTATTTTTAATTTTTCGTCCAGAATCCGCCTGTAGGGGGACATGCCCGACCTAACCAAAGGGGGGGCGGCATCCTCGAAACCCGGGGGGGAGATCGCACCAGGCCCTGGGCGGGAGTCACGGGGGAACTGCATGGAGGTTCTCGTCGTTCCACGCGCCTTCGAGCCCATCGCCAGCGTACGCGTGTCAAGGGAGCTGTTCTGCCTGGGGTGCTGGCTGCCTCGCCCTGCACGTCCAGGGCACAAACGCAATGCCCGCTGCCCGCCCTCAGAATCGAGACGCGGATGAGAGTAGCATTGACTTTGCACTTTCTTGTCAGGAGGCACACTTGTTTCTGAGAAGAGAGTAGCGCTCATTGGGGTAGCCACGAAGGGGAGAGGGGAAGGACGGGGACGCAGGGGATGCGGGGAGCGCGGCACTCCCAGGCATCCCTCGTCGTGTTCTTCAGAACAATGGCCCCCAGAGGTCTGGACCCCTCCATGGGGACTGGCTCCTCATCCCGAGCCGTTCCTTGACGGCCGCAGGGACCGGCGAGGGCCCCCGGAGGCAGAGAATTGTCCTTGACTTATTCACCACGCGAGGATGTCAGGGGAGGATGAAGGATGACAGAGGGCGAGGATGGAAGGAGGAGGAGGAAGAAGAAGGGGGGGGGGCAGGAGGGAGGGGAGTAGGAAGGGAATGGGTGCATCCTCGTGCCGTAGCCGCATATGGGGCAGCTGCTCCACCGCCTGCTCCTCGAAGAAATACTTCTCCAAGAACGAGGGGAGGTTGAGCGTCGCGCTGCTGCCCGCTTCGGCCGCCTTGGAGGAGGACAGGGCTGCGCGTCGTCGTTTTTGTTGTGTCTTGTGTGTGTGTGTTTGTTGTGTGCCGTTCGGGCAGCGGCGGCGTCTCCAGCTGGGTCGGAGAGCCAGCGTGGCTCGGCTGCGTGCTACCGCCACGGCAAGAGAGCAGCGCGGTGAGGAGGGTGTCGGGCGCGGCACGCAGACTCAGACCAAAGAGCCGATGGGTCGAATGGGGGCGACCTCGAGACGGCAAACGGTCAACGAGTCGGGGCAACTGGCCCCGAGCGCGGCCTTCTTCGTGTATGGTCGAGGCGTGCCCCGAGGGAAACGGGCCTCGATTTCGGAGGAGGTCGCGGAGGATGAGGACAAGGAGGACGAGGACGAGGGCGGTGGGAGAAATATTTTCCGAACAACAAATGCAACAGCTCTGGTTGGGCGTGACCGGCATCGCCTCCACGACCACCATCATGCCGAACACGAACATCCCAGCGTGGAACGCCACAGGACAAGCCCCCGTGAAGGTCGAACACGAAGCGCACGAGGCGAGACCCGTGCAGAGAGCCGCGTGTAACCATAAGCTGCGAGCCGCTGCGCGCATGACAAGAGGATGCGGCCAAGTGTTCACACGTATTTGCGCTTCCCCCCCCGCACGAAGCCGCGATGATTCAAATTCTCAGCGTCCCAATTGGTGGGAAGGGGACTCCAAAATGCCAGAGCAGGCCGAATTCAGCACGACTATGACGTAGTACAATGGGGTATGCGCCCAACGAGAAACAGCCGATACACTCAAGCCCAACGCCGCAGATAAGGCGTCACGTCCAAAAAGCGTATGCGGGCCGAAGATCCGTACTGTACATCGCGGGTAAGCGCACGCGGAAACATAACCACCACGATGAGAGATGAACATAGCAAAATAACATCTCGCAGGCTGTATAGATGAAAACAGAAGCGTGCATACCCGCGCAGTCACTCCAGCCGCCTCTGCGCCGCAAGTCCCCCAAGGGAAATCCCATAGACCCCGCGGCAAGAGCCATCGATGACAAACAGCACGAGCAGCGTGCCAAGTGGCCACCGAAGCCGAGGAAAGACACGCGCGACCAACGCAGCATACTCGGCGGCGCGCACAAGGGGGTGGGGCGAGGGGGGCGGACTCCTGAGGCGGCGGGGGTCTTTTTAGAAGGCAGGGGCCTTTGCAGGAGGGCCAGGATTCTTTTAAGAAAGGAGGCCTTTCAGTAGTAGTAGTAGTAGTAGTAGTAGTAGTAGTAGTAGTAGTAGTCGTCGTCGTCGTCGTCGTCGTCGTCGTCGTCGTCGTCGTCGTCGTCGTCGTCGTCGTCGTCGTTCGTCGTCG